AAGGATTTTTTAAAATGTTTAATGTTTTATTAAGTTTTCATATACGTTGGAAGCCGCCCAGAGTGGCTGGGGCAACACACAGTCAAATGGGTGGGGTATAAATAGTAAAGTTGTTGTTATTATTATTGCTGTATTATTGATATTGCTATTAGTGAATAGAACATCCCTATTTTCATCGGAGAAATATTGGAGGGTATGCTGAGTGAAAATAAACAACAAAGGCAGAAAAAAGGGAGGATAAAGAAAAAGTAAAAGCTCAAAAAATGAATAGAACTAAGAATTCCAACTAGAATGGTCAATGTGACTTGTCAGTGCTAGCTAAGTCTTATCATCAGTCTCACCAAGCTACATGTAAAATGATGAGTTGCTTTTCTCTGTGTATCTACCTCATAGCAACATCTCTTTCTGTAATTGAAATTCTTACCTTCTCACTAACATGAATATTTATCTTACATTACATTTTAATAAAATGAAGGGTTCCCATTTTGTTTCTACCCTTGTTTCAAATATTTGAGGAAACATAAACAGGTATTTTAAAAACCAGCATTCACACCTTGATTAGTGGATCTGTGTAGGCATGAGTTCTGCTTCTTAGGCAGAGCCTCACCAGCTATCTATGGATGCATAAACAGAGCTTCCCCTCAATAGAAGGAAATAGAATAGTTCATTTTTGAAGGAGCTAAGTGTGCAAAGGAGTACATGAATATCTGGAGGAAGAGGAGGGGGAGGGGAAAGCTCAGTATGTAAACATGTAAAAAGCTGTGGTTTAGATAGAGTAATTGTATTGCAGTATAATGCAAAGTGTACATGATGGATCTCTTCTATCTCCACTGTTGGAGTCAATGTGTCTCTGAATGCCAGCATCTGGGAATCACAACTGCTTTTACACGCAGTCCTGCATGCAGACAACCGCAGGCATCTTGTTTGCCATTGTGAGAACAGGATACCGGACTGGACAGGCCTTTGACCTAATGCATTTATGTTATGTCCAAAATCCAAAAAAGTGTGTGATGCTCAAATAGCCATTAATGAGGAAAATTAGCTTGTAAGTTTTCTTTCTTGAATTAAACTAATAAATAATAATAATAATAATAATATTTACAGTGCCCTAACTAGACTTGAAAATTATTTTGGTGTTGGTTAAAATGGGAAATATGTTAATCTAAACTGGAGCATCTGAGAGTGAGAAAAAGTCTGGAATTTTTCTACTGTACCCTGAAAGGGAGGAAACATGCTCACTTTACCTTTCTGCCATATTTTGTCTCTTGTTGATTTTCCTAAATTTTACTTTAAAAGTAAGGCTCCATCTCCTACTGTTCCAGGCATATGCTTATAGTAAATACATATTCTAAATCTCAAAAGCTAGAACCCAAAATAATTATATAAAATATTGTGATTTCTACAACATTTTAAGAAGGCTATCCCTAGATATCTCACATTCTGAGTTAAGAGATACAGAACAACATGAATGCAGTCTACCTATCTATTGGCCTTTGGGGTGATTTGCTTTTCAGTGTATTTATGCAAATATGATATTTTAAGGCTGTTAGTTTCCTGCAACAAGAAGTCCAGAATTTTAACTGGGTCCAATTTTAGGGTTGGTTTCTACAGTGACCACCAAGTTACTCACGTCTGTATTTAATAATAATAATAATAAAAAAATGCCTGTTTATTGTTGCATTTATTGCATACTTGTAAAAAGGGAGAAACCTACATCCTCACACTTGTTCTTATTTTTTTATGCCAGACAGTACAACTGAAGTCTTCACAAACATATATGTGACCAGCTTTGGACCAGTTTCAGATACAGACATGGTGAGTTCCCCAAAGCGAAATAAATTTTGGCATGAAATTATTTTGTTAAAAATATATACCCCCAACCATTTTACAGAAATTTCACAAGGAACCAGTATGCTAAATTGTATTACTGTATTATCTTGATGATGGCCAGGAACTTCCAAGGCATGGCTATGAAATCTGAGTATCAGGGAAGCACTCCAGACTTCAGGGCCAGTTGCCATGCCATATCAAACAAAGCTCCATGAAAATGAGGAACTTTGATTGGCCAACCTCATTTTCAGTTGTAGCTACTGTGGTATAAAGTGAATGAGTCTGCAGATGGACTATCTGGTGGGGATGTTGGAGAGAACGGGTGTGCTGGAATTTATCAGCCAGTGTTGTTGACTTCAGGCTTCTAGTTTTATGAAAATGAGAATCAGCCACTGAGCATGGCAGCTTCCCATTCCAATAACAGACTGGCTGTAACTTCCATCACTGGCAATATATATTGTGTACTGTGTACTATGTACTGGCAATATATATTGGTGAGCTGCTGAGGAACATTTAGTGAGATCTCTCAGCCTCCAAGAATGAACCATTTGGAGGCACCATTCTCTAAATGCATATATTAAAAATGGAGCTAGAACACAAACGGTCTGATTCTAATAACAAAGATAACATAGCTTAACTATAAAGGGTGTTTACAGGCATATGAGGCTTCTGTGCTTGAAGAGGTGAATTCATTGACTGTGGGAGGGGAAGAGGAAAAAAATACCATTTCTAAAAGAGTCACTCAAAAGAAGATTAGTAATGACATTTTGACTTTTCAGGAAGCACATGTTACACAAATGTGTGACACACACATGGTGTGTTACCGATTCATTTCCGTACAGGTAAAACTAAGCAACCATTTTTACCACGTCGGGGTGAGATATCAGTCTAGGTAAAGGTCCAAGATATCAAACTAGCACTTACACATTTGTTTCCAGTAGTAATTACTCTTTCAACCTTGGAGAGCAAAACTCAAGCCTGACCCAGTGTCAGACTCACAGAATCCAATTACAGCAGCATTTTCTGTCAGGCACGGCTGAAGACTGAAGACCCTGCAGGCAGCTTAGGACATGCCTTTTAAGTAATCTACAATCTGGCAGTTTGAGAAGGTTGCCATCCTGGAGTCCATGAGACTTTGAGCTCTTCTCATAAGGATCACATGGAAGCTGATCTTAATATCCTGCGGTGTCAAAGAAATAATCAAATGTTCTGCTAGAGAAAACCATGGGCAGCAGGCAGTGTACTTGATCAACGCAAGAAGAGGCCATTATGGGCAAGAATAAAATATTTGGAGTTGTAACTAACAGCTTATTTTGAAGGGCTTTAATGTGAAGTCAGAATGCTTCTCTTGGTGGGATGAAGAGTGTGACGGTTTCACCAAGGCAGGGTAATTGATATGCAAAGTAGCTTACCAGGATCAGAATAAAAAACAAGAAATGGCCTCATTAATTTGTTGACTAGGAAGCTTCATTACATGATGACATTTGCTTTTCAACCAGGAAGTACATACTTCTACCATCTACTGAAAAGTAATTAATCATTCTAGTCTGTAGACCAAAGTTAGAAACACCACAGATCCATGCATAATTGCTATAGAGAAGTGTGCAATACAAATATTATACAGTAGTAAGCAACCGCAAGAGCCCCTAAAAACTACTACGCTGATGACATGTTGTTATGAATTTCCTTATTAGAAACCTCAGCAATAAATAAGAATAAATAGGCTGTTGAGATTCATAGTTTTACTGAAGCAGCTGTTTGATAGAAGGTAGTGAGATCAGGGCATTGGCTCCCTTAATCACAGTGCTCCCTTTGTTAAACAAAAAATACAAACTTAGCCAATGTTACATCTAATGCAACTCTTGTCACCAGTTGTCACTGAATTTGTCACATGTTTTGATTTCAGTCAAAACAGGTTCTTCACTAACATGAACACAGATTATTGATATTAGTATCATGTTGAGCTCCTTTTCATTACACCAGCGCTCCTCGTTTCGCCTGACAAGTGTTAAACGATATGCCATTTGAATTTGTCCAGGGCATTTCTCATTAGTGGAAGGGCTCTTGTTACACTTCTCAAATCCCTGCTGAAATAACATATCCTGAATAAGGCACTTCAAGAAGACAACTGGCTATAGAGCATATGTGGTTTATGCATAATGATTAAGTATAGCATTTAGTCAAGTGAATAGCAAAATTTTATCCATATGACACAAAGTGTTACATCTTACTTTAGCAGACGCATTATTTTATTGATATTGGTCACTGTGGGCCTGATTTGCCATTGCGGCACATGTTAAGTGTGAAACACATATTTTTTAAAAAATCTAGTGATGTGGGTGGAGAATTCACTTGGCAGCATTTGGCACTTGCTTTGCTTGGGTGTAAATGAGAACATAAGACACACAGCAATGGATAACAGAATCCTAGTTAGCATTTACAGAAATGATTGTTCTCCAGAGAGCACTTATGGAAATGAAAATCTGTGCCTCAAAATGACAGCCACAGTCATTAGCTGTAGGTCTCAGTAGTCAGCTATATAAAAGTGGTTAAAGTGTTACTAATGCAAGGGCTGACATTAACTCTAAAACGTGAAAGTTACTTTCCACTTTTTAAAAATAAAAATGTTGGCAATGTTGAATAGCCAGCTTCCAGATAATTCTGTGCAGGGACAAACCTGAAATAATATACCCCATACTTTAAAAGGGAAATTAATGAGAGATCTTCTGAGTAGGATTGCTTTTGGTGTGCAATGACACAGAAATACTGTGTTCAGCTTCTCAGTATATTTGGGGAAATAAATATTTCTTTGGAAAGGAGATGCAATTAGGTTTCCTAGGCAGTTTTAATTTTTGCTTCTTTTTATTTTTTAAAGGAAGTTTTTTTAAAAAAAACCAAAAACAAAACAAAAACATAACCTCTTCTTTTTATAGCATAAGATTATTATTTTGGCGTTGTCATTCCTTAGTTTTCTGGCTATCCATTGTCCAGAGCCACCTCATATGCATTTAATGGTGGAAACACAAGATTGAAACCCCAACTCACAAAGCTTCCATGTTGGCTTCAGTCAAGTCACTGTCTGTCAGCTAAACATGGAATCAGAGAATTGTAGAGTCGGGAAGGGGTCACTAGGGTCATCTTACCCAACCCCCTGCAAGGCAGGAATCTTTCACCCAATATGGTGCTTGAACCCATGACGCTGAGATTAAAGAGTCTCATTCTCTACCAGTTGAGCTATCTACCTCAGAGGTTGTTGCTGTACACCACTTTAATGAAGTGTGAGCCTAATACATAAATAGAAGGGGAAAAACTGGTAAGCTACCGATGAAGCTATGGTAAACAAGGCCATGTTTCCCCCTATTTGAATTACTGCTATTGTGGGATGTAATCCACTGAGAGCAGTCAAGTACAACATTCCTTGTTTTCCTAGAGTGGACATGCAAGGGAATGTTTGGTCCAGCCCAGAGGTCGGCAAGGTTTAGCTCGCTTGGGCTGGTTCACTCCAGTGGAGATCCCTCTGTGGGCCGGATTGCGCGCGCGCCCATGATTTTCGGCGTCTGCGCAGACGCGATATCCGGCGCTGCAGAAGTGAGTCCCCGTGCCACGCTGTGCCGGTTTAGCACAGTGTGAGGGGACTCGCCAAGCACACAGCTCGGTTTGGGGGTGGCTCATTGGCCGGTTAAACAACCCCCGTGGGCCACTTGTGGCACATGGGCCTTAGGTTGCCTACCCCTGGTCCAGCCAGTCAAAACTTCCTTTTTTTAAAAAATGATATTTATTAAGTTTAACAATTACAGAAAAAAGAAAAAAGGAGAGATTAAAAAGTTACAATACAATACATCAAAAAACAATAATAAAAAACAAAAAACAATACAGCACAACAATAAGGGGAAAAAAACAAAAACAAAAATATTTAAAAACAAAAACATTTAAAAGACACATCCAGTATTTCCATATCCTTATCTTTCATTTACTTGTTTCATCGACCTCCTCACACCTCCCTTTTTTGTATTCTAATTCAATTTAGCTGTTTCAACAAATCCTTTCCCTTTTTCTCAATTTTTGTTCTATAAATTACCTTAACCCGATCTGACCTTAAAATTTTACCCTTCGACCCATTAACAGCCCATTTTTACATAGTTCTTAATAACATTTCTGCTAAAACCATGTAACTTCATTCCAACATCCTTCTAACATTCATTAATTTTACTATATTTTTGTAGATATACTTTAAATTTTTCCCAATCTTCTTCCACCAACTCTTCTCCCTGGTCTCGAATTCTGCCCAGCCAGTCAAAACTTCCTGTTCCTCCTGGCCTGGAGCATCCTTCCTTGCATGTGACTAGTGGGTGGGCATGACCTTTCCAGACCTGGTAAAAGGCCAAAGCATGCTACCATTCTCTCCCCTTTTCCATCTTCTTTTTGTCCTGTGAACCTCCAGCCAAGCAGTTCCTCGGGCCATCTCCCTTATGGGGTAAACCTGTTTTTATACATCCGTAACTTTAAGCCTTAAGCCTGCCTTCAGGGATCACACTGTGCTCTGCCTGATCATGAGCAAACGTTCTTTTAATTGCTTATGAATAAGACTGTGGTGTCTTTATTCTTTTAGGAGGGATTCAAGGGGTCTTACCAGGAAAATATTAGAACACATTTCAATCTGGACAAGCCAGATTGAATTGTGTATTGTCTCAAGAAACTCACACGAGTTTGCAATTCGTTTTCTGCTGTGTAAAGGGGAATGCACTCTGCTAAGTAAAGGAACTTGCTAGCGCAAGTTAGGAAGGGTATTAATAAACAATATATCCTCTCCTGCCACAGCTACAACTGTTTAGAGTTCTGAAGAAAATGTCTATCATTAGGATGGGTGGAGGCAACAGGGAAGTTCAGGGGAAGCTCTCTCCCTACCCCTCCAACCTAGATGTGGCAATTTTGGACTTGGATTGCAACTTGCAACCTTTGTCTATTGAACTCAGTGAGAACCACAGAGAAACCAGCCCATCACTCTCTCTAGTCTTGCCACTTCATCTGTACAGTGGTACCTCGGGTTAAGTACTTAATTCATTCCAGAGGTCCGTTCTTAACCTGAAACTGTTCTTAACCTGAAGCATCACTTTAGTGCTGCCGCCGCGCCGCCAGAGCATGATTTCTGTTCTCATCCTGAAGCAAAATTCTTAACCCGAGGTACTATTTCTGGGTTAGCGGAGTCTGTAACCTGAAGCGTATGTAACCCGAGGTACCACTGTACTTATCCTCCTCTGGATTCTCATTTCTTGAATACAGTAAATGGGCTAAAGTGATGAAAGAAATCCAGAATCTGGCATGTAGACACATGCTTAATTACATGTTTAAACTAATCCTAAAGCAATATATGGGACGGGAAAGGAAAATGGAGACAAGGAATTGGAGCGAAGGCTTTGGCTTCACCATGTTGCTTCTCTTCCTTCCTCCTGTGCAGATTGCATAGGACATGCACAGCTTGTGTTTCCCGACATCTACCACATGAACAGGGGGAGTATGGGTGCTACATGTTTTTCAGAGACAGAAATGAGGTAACGTAAGTCAGATATTTTTCTGTGCTTGTAAAGATGACCACAAGTGGGATTTGAACTCTACCAAGCTCTTGAAGGCAAAAGAAATAGAATCTTCAAATAGAATCTTCAAAAGTTACTCTCTCCTGTGGAATCCTCAGTTTTCAATTTTGCCTTCGATAAAGCGGTTCCTTGTTACCTCTCTGAGATTTCATTTGTTGGTTCAGGCTCGCAGTTTTATTTTCTTTGTTTCCTCTCTCTGTTTTTGTGTGTTTGTTTTTGTTTGTTTTTGTGCTGCCTCCTTCTGTTTCTGAAAAATAGAATAGAAAAGAAGAGTAGTGTTTTTCTCCTTCCCTTCCCTTCTGCCAGCCATTTTCCTTAGCCCTGAATTCCATTCTCATTTTGTCTCTGTGACCCAATATCGTTGGCTCTTTCTCTGTCTCCATGGCAGGACCAGCTGTTTTTACCTCAGCCTGAAGATCCTTATCTGTGTCTGGGCACTTCATTTCCATATTCCACTTTCTCCAACCCCATTTGTTCTCAGTTACTGCCACACAACATGGCGAAAGCTCTCAAGAAGTCTTCCATTCCCTGCAAACAGCATTTGTGGGCCTCTCAGCTCTCTTGGTGCTAGCTAGCTTCAACTTCAGCCCCTGTGCAGGAAAAAAAAAGGCAGACATAGTAATTTCCACTAATTCCCCCCTCCCTTGCATCAAAATGCAACTCTGGCAATGGAAACCTCACAAGGGCCTGCAGTGCCTTTAAATAGCTCTCCCCCCTCCATCTTTGAGTGCCAGACAAGGTTCCTCAGTGGTTCCTTCACTGCCCAGGCTGAATTTATACAAGCTGGGAGGTGGAGGCAGCAGCAGGGTGAGAGGCGAGTTCTGTATGTTTGGATCCTGTACCCAAGTCCAAGATGGTGAAGTTGCCTGCCTTAGTCCCTAAGGTTATTGAGTCTGAACTGGCTAATGCAACGATTATTAAAGGTCGGAGCAACAAGTCATGGATCAGTTGCAAGGATAAATTGCTGCTTGTTGATGCACCGGTGACAGGATCAGCCCATCGCATACTTCATCCTAAGGACTTGGATGCACAACTTGAGGACCCTACAGAGCAGGAACTGGATTTGGGTCTCAAGTGAGCGCATGCGGGAGTCGGTGGTGTGGGCAACTTCTTCTGCCCCCATCTTTGCCAAAGCTTCTCTCTTGAGACTGGAGGATCTGCTGGATGAGGCTAACCCGTAGCTCAATATTCTCTTAAGCTTTAAAAGTTGGCAGCATTTATTTCAGATGTGATTCAGTTTTCAGGTTGCTTATTGGTGGCATGTGACCTGGTAAGGAGAGTTCTCTGGTTGTGCCACTGGGAGGTGGTTGCTCTCTTCTGCTCCAGTTCAGCTATGGAAATCTATGGCAGGGGGGGTAATGTTCTTAAGAGCTGCTGCACTCCAGGATGTGCTTGTGGAATCAAAGGGTGAAAATAAGGCCATGCCCTCAAGCCCATAAGAAGGATGACAAGTGCTCCTTTCAGATCCTACTAGTCCTACCAGATCCTCCACCAATTCTACCAGGCCCTTTGATTTCTCAGACCCAACAGAAGAGGGAGGGAAGTTTGGTCTTCCTATTGCTCCTGGAATAAAGCTCGCAGGGGAACCAGAAGCCAGCAGCAAGAAACATTCCTTAAGTTTCGTTCATTCAACTAGTTCAGAAGATACAAGCATCAATTCTGAAACCAGCCTATAGGAGGCCTTCTCTCCCTTGTACAGATGTCAGGCCATCATGTCAGACCTTTGGGTCCTGGAGACCATGGAACAGGGTTTTCATCTGGAATTGACATTCCTACCCCCCTCACAAAGAGGATTTCTGTGCATGTAACAATATGGCCTCCAGGCCTCACCTTGTTATATAGTTTTTTCTTCCTGTCGCAGTTTTTTGAACTAAGCATGGTCCAGTCTGTCTGAGTCCCCCCCCCCCACTGGTTATTTATCCAGCAGAGAGTGTTTTTTGTTTCTTTGTTTGTTTTTCGTTGGCTGTTCCTCTTATCTGTTCTGCTTCTCATTCTCTGGATTGTCACAATGGAAAACAGAATTTCAGAGGAGATAGGGATTTTTGAAGATTCTATTTGGAGCTACAGATTTGCCTTCAACCACCAGGTGGAGCTCAAGTCCCACTGAGGCCATCTTTTTACATGTAGGGGTATCCCCTTTACAGGTAAGAACCCAGATGGTCTTATTTAAGATGAGCTTAAATCCGTGTCAAATGATATAGGTTGCCCTGCATATTAGTAGACACCTCTTGCTTCATGCCTAGAGTAATGTAATCATAGAATTGTAGCATTGGAAGGGACCCTGAGGGTCATCTAGTCCAACCCCCTGTAATGCAGGAATATGCATCTGTGTCAGCCTGGAGCATTAAAGTGATTCACTTCATTAGGTGCAAACTACATGATATCCTAAAAAGGATGCGGGTGCGCTGTGGGTTAAACCACAGAGCCTAGGACTTGCCGATCAGAAGGTCGGTGGTTCGAATCCCTGTGACGGGGTGAGCTCCCGTTGCTCGGTCCCTGCTCCTGCCCACCTAGCAGTTCGAAAGCACGCCAAAGTGCAAGTAGATAAATAGGTACCGCTCTGGCGGGAAGGTAAACGGCATTTCCGTGCGCTGCTCTGGTTCGCCAGAAGCGGCTTAGTCATGCTGGCCACATGACCTGGAAGTTGTACGCCGGCTCCCTCGGCCAATAAAGCGAGATGAGCGCCACAACCCCAGAGTCGGCCACGACTGGACCTAATGGTCAGGGGTCCCTTTACCTTTACCTTTACTGTTATCCTGCAATTGCATGCAGTGAAACTCTGTATTTCTCTCTCTCTTTTTTAAAAAAAATAATATTTATTACTTTTCCAACAATTTAAACACTACAAAAACAATACAATACAATACAAAAACACTACATAACATTGACACATTAAACACATTGAACTAACAAAACAAAACAAAAACAATAAAATAAATCAAACAATTTCATTATCCCATCTTTCATTCACTTATTTCCATGACCTCCTCACACCTCCCTTTTTGTATTCCACTTCTGTTAATTGTTTCAGCAATTCCTTTCCATCTTCCTCTGTTTTCTATCCTATAATTATCTTAACACATTCTAACCTTATTTTTCCTTTAATACTCTATTAATCTATTTATACCTAATTCCTTATAACATTTCTACTAAAGCCATATAACTTCATTCCAACATTTTTCTAACATTCATTAATTTTACAGTATTTCTGTAAATAGTCTTTAAACTTTTTCCAGTCTTCTTCCACCGACTCTTCTCCCTGGTCTCGGATTCTGCCAGTCATTTCCGCCCGTTCCATATAGTCCATCAACTTCATCTGCCAGAAACTCTGTATTTCTCAGCTGTGTATTCCCACCAGTATTCTAGATCTAGACCCATTTTATCTCACTAGATCTAGAACCTTGCAGAGATAAAAGCTGCTTGGTGGTATGGTGGAGTTTCGGGGGGGGGATAGACTAAAGGGCAAAAGCTAAGCAGTCTTTTTCTCTCCATTTGCTTTTCACTTCACGGTGTACTAGGTACATGCAACAGCATGGTATTCTGCCCCCCAGACTCCTTCGAAGTAAGCTGGATGTCTCTATTTGTTCCCAATCTAACCTTACTTTCAATCACTGCTTTACAAGTTTAGGCTCAGTGCATTAGTAACAATGCTTTGAGTGAAGGATGCAGAGATGATTTTCGGCTTTATTATGTAGAATAATAGAGACCATCAAAAGGAAGGCAAAGTGCAAGGATAAAGCAGATTGCACCTTTGGAGATTCAGCTGTCTTGTAGCTGTTTTTATGAAATGTGTAAGCTTAGTGTTGTGATGAAAAAGCCCTAAAGAATTGCAAAGAAGCCAGTGATGTAAATTTATTCTGACATTAGCCTGAGAGGAAAAGCTGTGTTCACTTTAAAAAATTAAAAAGAAAGTTACTCCCCTAAAACACAAAACAGAAAAACAAATCAGTAACTCTGAACAGTTAATCACCATAATTGACAAAGGAAACCTATAACGTTAAGTCTTGATTTAAATAGCTAATTGCATATTCACTTCATTTAGAAAAACGTAAAGCACATTTCCTTACAATCAGGAAAAAGAAGGATAGATTTAGAAAATGTGTTGGTGTCCCCATTGTCTTCATTGCCATGTTGTAGGAATTCAGTGCTGCCCAAAGTATTTTAACTGTTAAATCCATCATGCATTGGACTCTTTCTGAAGCCCCAGTTTCACTGCAACAAGAAGGGAGGGTTTTTACTGACCCCTCGGTGTATTAGAGGAGTCTTGGCCATGCAAGGCATATTCACAGTTGCCCAGACTGAAGTTTAGACCCACTCTGGCAATTCACCAGAGAGTTTTGGCAATGCAGATGGTGTTAGAGTGAGGCATATTACAGATTCTTCCCACATAAACTTCTTGTTCTACCCTTACTGTATTTTTTTTGGGGGGGGGGGACTGTGCCTCAGTGGTTCCCAGGCTGCTCATGTAATACAGTGAACGCTCGGGTTGCGAATGTGATCCATGCAGGAAGCATGTTCGCAACCCGCAGCGCCGCGTCTGCGCATGCGCAGGTCACGATTCAGCACTTCTGTGCATGCGCAAAGCACAATTTAGTGCTTCTGTGCATGTGCAAGTGCCGAAACCAGGAAGTAACCCGTTCTGGTACTTCTGGGTTCGGCGCGGTGCGCAACCCGAAATCGTGCAACCCAAAGCGTCTGTAACCCAAGGTATGACTGTACTAGAATAGGCTTTTAGAACTTCTATTCTGGTGAAAACCCAGTCATACTTTTGCTACTTGGCACTTATGAGGTCCTGATGACAATTCTGAAGAGTGCACTGGGACATTGGAAAGACCCCTGTGCTGAATATATGAGAGAGATGTATGGAATTTTCAATAGTTCAGCATGTGTTGCACCCCTGAAACTTCTCACCATTTGGGAATTGGTTGAGGAATACACAGTTACTATTAAGGATGGGAAAAGGGACGTGGGTGGCGCTGTGAGTAAAACCTCAGTGCCTAGGACTTGCTGATCGTATGGTCGGCGGTTCAAATCCCCGCGGCGGGGTGAGCTCCCGTCGTTCGGTCCCAGCTCCTGCCCACCTAGCAGTTCGAAAGCACTCTTAAGTGCAAGTAGATAAATAGGGACCGCTTTATAGCGGGAAGGTAAATGGCGTTTCCGTGTGCCATGCTGGTGCTGGCTCGCCAGCTGCAGCTTCGTCACGCTGGCCACGTGACCCGGAAGTGTCTTCAGACGGCGCCGGCTCACGGCCTCTAGAGCAAGATGAGCATGCAACCCTAGAGTCGGACACGACTGGCCCGTATGTGCAGGGGTACCTTTACCTTTACCTTTTTATTAAGGATGGGAGAGAAATTCAGTTTGGGTGACTTTTCAACACGGACCTACCTAATCCATGCTTCTCGAAGCAATGCGTCAACCGAAATGCAAGTAGCCTTCAAAATTTGCACTTCTTTTAATTTTGCGATTTTGGTTCTGCAAACCCGCCCCCCCAATGTTAAATTAGGGTCAAGCGTATCAAAGAAAAGTGCACATATTAGTGCGGATAACAGAAATGCTCATAATATGGAAAATTGCTTGCAAAATGTGTGTATTAGAAGAAATATGCATCAGAATGCTGATGGATTTTTGTGAGAACTTTTCTTTTTTTAATCAAACTGATGCAGAAACTGTTGATTTAAAGCAGAGTCTCTGGTGCCCAGCGGAAGGATGAGCAATACGTGCTACATACTCTATATTGCTTTATTTACAGTTCAAAGCTGGTATATTACAGAAAGGCATCTTGCCTCTGCAGGAGCAGAAAATGCATCCTCTCTCCTCGACAGCTCGGAGAGAATCACACAGTGAAAAACAGGAAACCAGTGTACGTCACATCCAGTCTCCCTTTCCCGTGAGAAACTCCAACAGTACAGACTGTGGAATGTAAACACCTGTCTCATGACAAGCAAAGCTGCACAGTGAAGGAAAGCAGAAACCAACATCCTCCCCCCTTTCTGTGAACATCACTGGGCAGCGTGTTCGTACAGTATCAGTACAAACCCAACTTCTGCACATAGGTACAGTGTTGATCCCTTGATACAATCTTGGACAATACATCAGCAGGAATTTCATTACCTGGCATATAGGACACCGTTACGAGTCCCTTCTGAATACATTCCCTAGCATGCTGCAACTTTAATTGCAAGTGCTTTGTGCTTTGCTTACAACCTTCAGACTTCAGCAAAGCCAAACATGCTTTGTTGTCCTGGTAAACCTGGATTGGACATTTGACAGGAATTTTCATATCTTTGCACAATTGTACTAACCATTCACAATCCTTAAGTGAATAAGACAGTGCATTCAGTTCAGCTTCACAAGTACTTAAGCTAACTGTTGTTTGCTTCTTGCATGACCAATCAAACAGACTCTGATTGTACATATAGCAAACTCCAGACGTACTTTTCCTGTCTGTAGCGTCACTTCCAAAACTTGCATCTGCAAATATCTCAAGACCACCAGACTTCTGATTGTTAAATCTCAGTCTGTAATGCATAGTGCCTTTCAAATACCGCGCTATGCGTTTCAGAGCTTTCCAATCCTTGACACTAGGATTGTTGACTTGTCTGCTTAGCAAATTACAGCTAACAGCAATGTCTGGTCTTGAACATCTGGCAATGAAGTTTAGCTTGCCTAGCACACTCCTGTACAGTGTAGTGTCAGAAAATGCTTCTTCAGTGTCATCTACCTGATAACCTGTTGTCATCGGTGTGTCTACAGGGTTAGCATCCATCAGATTTAGTTTGCTTAACACATCAGCAATTTTCCGTGACTGGTGTACTAGAATGTTACCATCTTGATCTCTCTCTATTTCCAGAGATAGGTAGTTGTTTACCTCACCAAGATCTTTCATGTCAAAGTGCTCTTTCAGTTGAGCTAGGGCGCTATTGTACATTGCAACATCTTTCCAAAAGAATAATAAATCATCAACATAAAACAAACAGTACAGTTTCTTTTGCCCCTCCTCTTTGACAAATACACATGGATCAGCTTTCCCTTGCTGAAAACCTAGAGAAAACAATACTTCAGTGAGTTTTGTGTGCCAACACCGTGCACTTTGTTTGAGACCATAAAGGGATTTCTTCAGAGCACAAACAAATCCCTGTTTTACCTGTACGCCATCAGGTGGAAGCATATAAAGTGATTCATCTAGAGATCCGTACAGAAAAGCTGTATTAATATCATGGTGACTAATGTGTAGATTTTCCTCTGCAGCTAGCTTGAGCATAAGCCTAATGCTTTCATATCTCACTGTGGGTGAATAGGTCTCGTGATAGTCTTCACCTGGTACCTGTGCAAAACCTCTGGCTACCAATCTGGCTTTGTGTCTGACTATCTTGCCATTTTGATCTGTCTTCGCTTTGAAGACCCATTTGCTTCCAAGCAGTTTCATTCCTGGAACTACTGGAACTAGCTCCCATGTTTTGTTCCTTTCTAAGGAATCAAGCTCAGCCTTCATGGCATTTAACCATGGCTCAGCTTCCTTTGAATCCAAACCCTGGATTTCTTGGAAACTTGAAGGTTCAAATACCTTCTTGGAGCTTTTAACAGCTGTTACTGCTATCGTGGCAAACTCATCAGCAAATCTCTTTGGAGGTTCGCCTTTTGTGGCTCTCTGTGACCTACGAATTAGCCTTAAGTCTTCAACACTCTCCTCTTCCTTCTTAGGAGAAAAACGACCTATTGTGAACAATGGTTCCTCCAATTCTTGATCTGAGCTTTCAGAGGGTCGCATAGATGCTTTCGCACTCTCGAAATCCTCTGAATCACCCGATTCAGTTTCAGAATCAGACTCAGAACCTTCATCAGTGGGTGTGGGTTGTTGTGGTTGCTTTTGACTATCCTCAGTCTCATCACCGTCATCAGGATAACATTGGAAAATTCCCACATTCTCCCCCCCACTTTGCATTGTACTCAACACTTCTCGTGAGCTTAATTGTCTTAGAGTCAGTCATCATTATTCTGTAAGACCCTTTCTGATAACCTAGAAAGATACCATGCAATCCACGCTTGTCTAACTTGGAGTTTTGTGGTGAGCGAACCCACATGTCAGAACCAAAATCTTCATGTGTTTGATGTATGGCTTCTTGCCAAACATCTTCTCATAGAGGTACATCCAATCGCTGAAGATAACCTGCGATTGTAACTGTAAACAAAACACGAGAGAGATTCGGCCCAATAACTCTCTGGAAGATTGGCATCATGCAGCAAGGTCTTTAACCCTTGAAGCAAGGTTTGATTTGCCCGTTCCGCAAGTCCATTCTGCCATGGCGAGCGAGGACTAGACAAATCGTGTTGAATTCCTTTCTCAGTCAGAAAAGCTTCAAACTGCTGAGAAGTGAATTCCCCCCCGCGATCACTGAAAAGAGTCTTTATCTTCTTACCATGCACATTTTCCAACCAAGCACAGAATTCCTTGAACCTAGGAAAAGCCTCCGATTTCTGCTTGAGATTGTACACAAAAATATATCTAGAAAATGCATCAATGAGAACCATGAAGTATCTATTTCCACCCAAAGAGGGCGCTAGTGGTCCAACCAAATCAGCATGAACAACCTGGTATGGTTCTGTAGCTTTCCTACTAGACACCTTACCTTTCGCAGCCATTTTCACCTTGTTTGCTGCGCATGCTTTGCACTTCATGTGGTACCTGCAGGGTTTAATAGTCATACCTTCAACCAAGGCAGGCATTTTAGATACTGCCTCAAAATGCAAATGACCAAATTTTCGATGAAAATCGTGAATACATTCTGCATGCAAACTTTTGTTAGAACCTGCAATGCAACAAGTGTCATCCTGCACCACATCATCATAATACAAAACAAACAAATGATCAACATATTCTGCATGCAATACATAATCATTTTTCTTTGTGATGATGCACTTCTTGTTCTTGAAGGAAACGTCAATGTTCCGCTCATTCAGCTGTCCAACGCTGAGCAGATTATGTTTGGCGTCTGGCACGTAAAGCACATTCTGTATCGATAAGTCCAAACTGTGAAGAACAACAGTTCCGTAGCCTTTACTGGGAATAGTGTGGTCATCCGCCTGGTGAATCGCACCTTCCTGCGGTGTAAAAGACACAAACAGTTTCTTATCGTTGCACATGTGGTGGGTGGCCGCTGAATCAACAACGAAGAAAGATCTAGACGTCTTCTGGACCTCTGCAACCTTTGGAGTGAAGCGTGAAACCATAGCCTTGTGCTGCGTTGTCCTAGACACCGGACCTTTGCCTTTGCCTCGGCCTTTTCCGCGCGATGAGCTTTCGCTGCGCTGCTCTGTCTTGGCCCTGGGATGTCTGCATTCCCTCTTCATATGGCCTAGACGTCCACACGAGTAGCATTTGACTGCCTTCAAAGCTTTGGCGCCATCTGGTGGTTCCACTGCACTATGGGATGACGTCTGTGAAGACTCCCCTTGCCCATGCAGCTAGCACCCCGGCGATCTGCTTCATTTAAAATCACGGCAGTAACAAAGTCCACTGTCAGCTGAGCAGTTGGTTGCACAGCAATCTGGGTTGCAACAGACTCCCAACCTGGACCCAAAGATTGTAGTATCATGAAAGAATACACAGCCTCTGGAAAGTTGAGTCCTCTCTGTTGCAGCTCATGTCTCAGATTTTGCATCTCCATTAGATGTAAACGTACATCTCCACCTTCAGCAAGAGCCATATTATGCAGCTTGTTAAAATAAAACATAGTGGATCCAGCTTCTGTCCTTAAGTGAGCCTCTCTCAGAGCGTCCCAAATTTCTCTGGCTGAGGTCTTATCACGCAATAGACAGAGCTCTTCTGGGGATACTATCAATGTAAGAGTTCCCCTTGCTTTGGAATCCTTAGCTTTCCATGCATCTGTAACTGGAACTGGGGGGGTTTCTGTAATCACCTCAAACAAACCCTCTTTCCGCAGAATTGCCTCTGCATACTGAACCCAGTCGCTGTAATTTTTCTTGTTGAGCTTAGGAATCCTACAAGCATCCTGAAGGGCCATCATGACTCTGGCATTAGCCTTCAGCGTCATATGTATGCTGCTTTAATTCTTGCTGCGTCACTGCTGCAGCTGCTTTATTACAAAAGCACACTTAAAAGTTACTTTCGATTTCCCAGCATAGTGACTTGTGCCTGGGAGCCTTTTGCCTATTCCCGGCAAAACCGGCTTTAAAAGTTCAAAGTCCAGCCATAAAGCCATTATCTTGAAGCTGGCAGGCTGCCCGGAGCAGTAGCACATACCTCATCAATCACTTCTACGCGCAGAGCAGATTCCTTTCCGATCCGTCCCTCTGCATTCCGATCCTTTGCCGGCACTCCGATTCGACCTCTGGAGCCCATAACCACGTGTTGATTTAAAGCAGAGTCTCTGGTGCCCAGCGGAAGGATGAGCAATACGTGCTACATACTCTATATTGCTTTATTTACAGTTCAAAGCTGGTATATTACAGAAAGGCATCTTGCCTCTGCAGGAGCAGAAAATGCATCCTCTCTCCTCGACAGCTCGGAGAGAATCACACAGTGAAAAACAGGAAACCAGTGTACGTCACATCCAGTCTCCCTTTCCCGTGAGAAACTCCAACAGTACAGACTGTGGAATGTAAACACCTGTCTCATGACAAGCAAAGCTGCACAGTGAAGGAAAGCAGAAACCAACAGAAACATGGCAAACTGCATTTAAGGGGGGGTGCGAAACTGAAATTGACAGATTTGTCTATCTCTAATTACTGTTGTTCAAGTTTATAAGTTTATTGTTCTGGCCAAAAGACCATGACAAACATGTAGCAATAGTATTAATAAAAGAATACAGAACAAGCATCCATAATATGAATCAACATCTACGATGTAAGAGAGATAAGATACCAAAGACACCAACAAGCTTAAATCTAGTTTGATTAATTACTGTTGTTAAGGAACTTTCTTCAGAATCCGTATTGATGTTTGGCACAAAGGTTAGAATTCATTAAAAGGGAGCAGTAAGGAATTACTCAGCAACAAAATGAATCGAGGGAGCCACACCACTTTTTCTGAGTGTGTCTCACTCAGGTATATATCATAAAACATCTATGCTCAGATACCTGGCAGAAGTGTGTGCTTTGAACATTTGTTTTTGAAAATGCTGTTTGCGCAAAACAGCTTAATTAGCTTCCTAGATGTGTTTCTGATACAGTACAGTAATGCTATTAACAGTTCTGAAACTAAAACAAGGCAAAACTAAATTAGAAATGCTTATCACTAAATTTGCCTTATGACTATGAAGATGGTATGCCAAGGAATTGTGTGTGTGTTTTTTTATATATATATAAAAGTTGAGAAGCAATAATTTGTAAGCAAAATATATATGAAAATGTCTGTGTTTACCAAAAGTATGATCCAAACACCCCTAACATGAAATGGCAGGGCTACAGTGATTTTGGACTAGTCATTCGCATGTCTCCAGATTCATCCACTCATCCAAGAGCACTGATATCTAAACTGATGAGCAGCTGGATTTCACTCTCTGATTTATCAGCCACAAGGGAGGTGGGCATATACTTTTATCACTTACAGAAATTTACACATGCCAATATTTCACATCTACTTGTACCAAGTAGATTTATGAGATGCTCTTTAGTGAATACAAATGCATAACAGAACATCTGCAATGAAAAAAAACTTAGGGAAGTGCTGGGTGAGATCCCATGGACAGTAATACTAAAAGGAAAGGGAGTTCATGAAAGGGCTGAATTCCTCAATGCCTTCTTTGCCTCAGTCTTTTCTGATAAAGAAAACAATGCCCGACCTGAAGAATTTGGAGCAAATGATTCAGCAGAGGAAACACAGCCCAGAATAACTAAGGAGATAGTACAAGAATACTTGGCTAGTTTAGATGTATTCAAGTCTCCAGGGTCAGATGAACTGCATCCAAGAGTATTAAAAGATGTGATCTCAGAAGGCAGATGTGATCTCAGAACCACTGGCAGTCATCTTTGAGAATTCCTGGAGAACAGGCGAAGTCCCGGCAGACAGGAGGAGGGCAAATGTTGTCCCTATTTTCAAAAAGGGGAAAAGAGAGGACCCAAATAATTACCGCCCAGTCAGTCTGACATCAATACCAGGGAAGATTCTGGAGCAGATCATTAAGCAAACAGTCTGTGAGCACCTAGAAAGGAATGCTGTGATCACCAATAGTCAGCATGGATTTCTGAAAAATAAGTCATGTCAGACTAACCTGATCTCGTTTTTGACAGAATTACAAGCCTGGTAGATGAAGGGAACGCAGTGGATGTAGCCTACCTTGATTTCAGCAAGGCATTTGACAAGGTGCCCCATGATATTCTTGTAAAGAACCTGGTAAAATGCAGTCTTGACTATGCTACCACTCAGTGGATTTGTAACTGGCTGACTGACCAAACCCAAAGGGTGCTCATCAATGGTTCCTTTTCATCCTGGAGAAGAGTGACTAGTGGGGTGCCACAGGGTTCTGTCTTGGGCCCGGTCTTATTCAACATCTTTATCAACGACTTGGATGATGGACTCAAGGGCATCCTGATCAAATTTGCAGATGACACCAAACTGGGAGGGGTGGCCAACACCCCAGAGGACAGGATCACATTTCAAAACGACCTTGACAGATTAGAGAACTGGGCAAAAACAAACAAGATGAATTTTAACAGGGAGAAATGTAAAGTATTGCACTTGGGCAAAAAAAAGAGAGAGGCACAAATACAAGATGGGTGACACCTGGCTTGAGAGCAGTACATGTGAAAAGGATCTAGGAGCCTTGGTTGACCACAAACTTGACATGAGCCAACAGTGTGACGCGGCAGCTAAAAAGCCAATGCAATTCTGGGCTGCATCAATAGGAATATAGCATCTAGATCAAGGGAAGTAATAGTGCCACTGTATTCTGCTCTGGTCAGACCTCACCTGGAGTACTGTGTCCAGTTCTGGGCACCACAATTCAAGAAGGACACTGACAAACTGGAACGTGTCCAGAGGAGGGCAACCAAAATGGTCAAAGGCCTGGAAACGATGCCTTATGAGGAACGGCTAAGGGAGCTGGGCATGTTTAGCCTGGAGAAGAGGAGGTTAAGGGGTGATATGATAGCCATGTTCAAATATATAAAAGGATGTCACATAGAGGAGGGAGAAAGGTTGTTTTCTGCTGCTCCAGAGAAGCAGACACGGAGCAATGGATCCAAACTACAAGAAAGAAGATTCCACCTAAACATTAGGAAGAACTTCCTGACAGTAAGAGCTGTTCGACAGTGGAATTTGCTGCCAAGGAGTGTGGTGGAGTCTCCTTCTTTGGAGGTCTTTAAGCAGAGGCTTGACAACCATATGTCAGGAGTGCTCTGATGGTGTTTCCTGCTTGGCAGGGGGTTGGACTCAATGGCCCTTGTGGTCTCTTCCAACTCTATGATTCTATGAAAGGAGAAGTTTTCAAGGTGGGAATGTTGCCATGGCCTACACTGAATCGAATTTGGAACATCACATCCCACACTCACATCCAAACCTTCCATAAAACTGAATATCTCTTCTATTGAATGTTGCATACAGGAGTAGAGAAAGCTCAGCCAGATTTCATCTTGAGGCTTTTAGGTTAAGTTGTCAATTTTTGAATTCAGTGGTGTGTGCGCCCAGCCAAATTTCATAGATTTCACCTTATAGAGCACTTCTGACTTTGAACAAGTCTGACTCTGTGCTATAACTGAAGAGGGTGGCAGTTCAACAAGAACTGCCCTGATCCACAAGCCCAAAAGGAGGGCCAGTGTGAGTGGGTTGGTGCAGGGGTTCCAAAAACAGATGTCAAAAACATCAGAGTGATCCGTGCTAGTGCTTTATTAGAAGAAGGTGAAAACTGACAAGACAGCCTCCACAGCCCTGCTGCACTCCGAAACAGCAAACATTCGTTATGACTTGTCTGTGAGGGGCTAATGATATGTTAAACAAGCTAAGTAAGATGGCAATAATAGTCCAATTAACACACCCCTTGCTTAGAGGCACCTTCCTAACCCATCTCTCAGATAAGGCAGTCAGCACGAGAAGCCTCCCCTCTCCAAACTAACTAAACCAAAACTAAGGCTTCAAAGTTTCAAAGCCGGGGTTATCTTGACTACCAAGGTGGCATTTACAGGCCTTCCAGGACATTTGCACCATTTGGATCTACACAATCTGCCCCATGTGTTCTTCCGTAGTTCCCTTGGGGTCTCAAAGGAGGGGAGTTGTTACTCGGCTGCAAGCAAAATCCACAACAATATAAAAACAAAACAAAACAAAAATCAATCCTATCACTGTAATTGTGACAGTCATAATTAATAAGCAGTGCCACCATCCTCCAAGCCTTTGGAACCTCTATCACAATCCTCCATGTTTCTTGTTCCAAGTTGGTTGTCTTAGTGCTATCTTGATACAAAGTATGCATCCTTTTACTTAGGAAGCTAGGTTTATCTGGACATATATGCAGCACCCCTGCTTTATAAAACCACAACACCCTCCTTGAGCAGCTGCAATCATATATAATGCTAGCCTGTTTTGCAAGACAGCTGCTTTCACGGCAGAGGTTTCCTTAATGAGGGCAACCAACCCCAGTGCAGTGGTGTTTAAAGCTGCCTGCATTATCTCAGCAAACTCACTGACCTTCATCATGGTGAACATAATTCCAGCAGGTGGAATCAATACTATCAAATTATCACCATGGTTAAAAACTGATCAAAGTCCATCTTCCTTTCCAGGTTCGCCAATTTAATGCCCTGTCACTAGACAGGGCTGGCATCATCTGATACGGTACCCAAGCCAGACCCAGGTAACATCATCCATGCCACCCTGGGGGCAACCACAGCCAGCCATAGTTCCCACATACCCAATAGGTACCGTTTGTTCCCACTCAGTAAATCTCAGGGGTCTGGTCCAGTTATTCCCAGGCCATAACACCAGTGTGGTGTAGTGGTTAAGAGCGGTAGACTCGTAATCTGGTGAACCGGGTTTGCGTCTCCACTCCTCCACATGCAGCTGCTGGGTGACCTTGGGCCAGTCACACTTCTCTGAAGTCTCTCAGCCCCACTCACCTCACAGAGTGTTTGTTGTGAGGGAGGGAGGAAAAGGAGAATGTTAGCCGCTTTGAGACTCCTTCGGGTAGTGATAAAGCGGGATATCAAATCCAAACTCTTCTTCTTAACCATATGAACCCATCCCACATCTGCTTAGTATGAAGCTAATCCCTTCAGGATACATTTTCCCTTCTCGTCTCATTGCATTGACTGAGAAGGTAAGATTAGAGAGCAACTCTTGTACACACTGGGGTACTGATAGATAGGACAGGGTGCACTTGCTTAGCATAGCATTCAAATGACATTGCACCACACAATAATCATTTTTATCCAATGGCTTGAAATATGTTGAAGAAACCACCATGTCCTTGCATTGGCATCTGTGTGCAGATCCAGCAGTTATAAGAGCCAGTATTTTTTGCTGATCGATCTGTCCAATTGATGTAGAGATTTCCACTCCCGCTGTGGGAGTTGATGACAGCCAAGCTCCTGGTCTACAGGAGGTACAGCAACATCTTGGCACAAGTGTGGATACAGTCAGTAGAGGAACCCTGGGACCCTCCAGATTATGATGGCTGTGACTGCCGCTGTCCACTCCAGGTGCAACCTTTAACAAGCAAACAAATATCATTTAGGCACAATTCTAGGCACATTGTCTCCTTGTACCAGTACTACACAAGTAGCTGTCCCAGCTGGGCTCAGCATTTCAGCAACTTGCAATTGGCCAGAGGGCTTCCACCAGCGGACTGAGTTGAGCCAAATCCTTTGCTTCCCCTGACGCTGCAGCCACTACAGCCTGTTCCAATATGAGTTGAAGCAACCTTTCCCCAGCCTGATAGGGCAACTTCTGTGGAGCCTGGAGGATTGGTTTCACTTCTTCTTGGTAGTCAGGGGTCTATCACACCCGCTAGAACTTGCACTGCTTTCAAGGGCCACCCAGTTCTTGCATAAGTGCCAGTAGGAGTTTAAAGTCCCAGTCATAAGTGGAGCGGACTTGCCATTGCCTGTGTATGCTATGGGGGTGTTCTACCTCCATCTCTGCTATTGCTCCCCAAGCATCTTGATACATGGCTATAATCCAATCAAGCAAACACTGATTGCCTTGCGTCTTCTGAGACCCATGCAGCTGCTGCCTTGGGACTGGGTGTGCAGCCACATTGCTCACTGCCTCTCCCATCAAGAGACTCAAACTGCCCTCTCCTTCATCCCACAAATGTGACAGCCAGGCCAACAGTGTTTCGCGTGGCTACTGATGAAATTACTTAGCCAGCTCCATGAGCTCACCAGATTTATCATCATGAACAGTATTCACCTAGATTGGCAGGGCTGGGGCAGCACCAACCCTACACTACTTCACTTTAGCCTGCATCAAAGGACGTGCAGCCAGCCTCATTCCCTCATCATCATCACTACTTCCCCTTCCTCATTCAAGGTGCTGTCCTCAGCTTTATCATCCCATCCTGATGGTGACCAATCAGGTTGACCAAGAATAGTTGCACCCTAGGGCTATGCAAACAGTGTCCCCTTCTCTGTGCACATTGAGAAGCCAGTGCGAGCAGCTCCTTTTCCTGCTTCTCTAACTTTCCACCTGAATCCCTTAGAACTTCACAGACGGTAGCTTGCATATCTCTTTCATGAGCCACATCCTCCTCCATGGACTTCATCCACTTTGCAGAAGCCTTCAAGTCATTTCCCCAAGGGCTTCGGTGGTTAAATTCAGCCACTCATAGGCAGCGGTTATAGCTGCTGGATCTACGTAGACAGCTGACCAATCCTGGGAAGCCCCAAACCCATCCAGCACCTCTGCCACAGACACCCACCCACTCTTCCTAACTCCAGCCAGGAATTCGCCATCTGGCTGCTATGACTCCCTAACGCATCCCTACTTTGGAAACCTGCTAACTGTGCCTATTGTCCTGATTTTTTTTATGTTTTTGTATGCGTTGGAAGCTATCTAGAGTGACTGAGACAACCCAGTCAGATGGGTGGGGTATAAATAATAACGTTGTTGTTGTCACTATCATTATCATCATTATCCACAGGCCAAAAGGAGGGCCTGTGTAAGTGGCTTAGTGCAGGGGTTCCCAAGAAGGATGTAAAAAATGCCCAAGTGATCAAAGCTAGTGCTTTATTAGAAGAAGGTGAAAACTTACAAGACAGGCTTAACCTCTGGATCATGACTTCAAGCCCCACCTTGGGCAAAATATTCCTGCATTGCAGGGGGTTGGACAAGATGACCCTTGCCGTCCCTTCCAACTCTACAATTCTACGAAAAGCCTGCAGAGCCTTGCTGCCAATGCAGGCTCAGGATAGATGCTGAAACATCAAGCATTTGTCATGACTTGTCCTCGAGGGGCTAATATGTTAAGCAATACTGATAAAAAAGCAAGCTACATAAATTGGCAACAATAGCCCAATTAACTCACCCCTTGCTAACAGGCACCTTCCCAATTTTCATCCACCTCTCTGATAAGAGTGTAGCACAAGAAACCTAGTCCCAGGGCTATCTTGACTACCAAGATGGAGTGTGCGGGCTTTCCAGGTCATTTGCACCATTTGGTTCTACACAGGAGCTTGTGTCTTACTGCAGGGCAAGATTAGCACAAGCCTACTATTTTTGGTATAGAGAGAAGTGAATGCAACGTGAGAAATGAAAGAAAAAGGATCAGGAGGGACAAAAAATATCCATGCCAACAGTGCAATCCTATCCATTACTCTTACTAAAGAGTAAGGCTCGTTGAGCTCAATGGGGCTTACTCCCAGGTAAGTGTGTGGAGGATTGTATTCCAGCTTTACCTATTCTGAAGATATTTCCCTGTTTTCCAGGCTGCTGAAACTGAAGCTTGCATTACCAGAAGAAAATTAGCAGAATGGAAGTGTATCAAATGCTGCACTGTACTCCTATTAAAAATATTTACTGTGGCACAAATTAACAAGAAGACCTCGCTTTTTTTGCAATTACTCTACTGAATTGCAAGGAACTGGGACTGTCGATATGCAAAGCAACCATCATAGAATCACATTAGCTAGCAAAATTAAGTTGGAACACATTAGGTAGTAAAATGAAGCTGTATGTTTATCATTGTGTGCATTATTAATGAGGGAAATAGCGAAGGCAACAAAATTCTTTAGCATAGTTTTGCAGGATTGAATATTTTTGTATTTTGGGGGATATCCTATTAAAGGACGTAAAACAACCCTTTAAAATAAAACAAAACATTCAAAAATGTTTAAAATTGAGAAAAATGTTTTGGAGGAGGTAATAAAATTGAAGGATGGAATAAATTTATTGCTGTCTGAAAATATGGCATCTAATGTATAGGCCAGTTTTTCTGCATCTGTTTTTCATGAATGCAGCGAAGTGAATATAATAAAGATATTAAACATATATTGAGTTCCATTATGATCTTGCAGATCTGTTTAGGATATCTGTTAAGTTGTGGGCGAACGTATCAGACGACACAGCGATTCTTCAAACAGCTCTTGTTTATTCAGATGCCAGAACAGAACTGAACTGAAGAGCTCAGTCAGCCTGCTTATATAGAGCTCCAGAACAGCGTAACTGTTGCAACTTTCTAAAACTATCCAATCATTGAACGTCGCTTTTGATCCTTCATTTGCATACAAACTATCCAATCATTGAACGTCACTTTCGATCCTTCATTTGCATAACTATCTACAGTATCCCCCTGCTGGCCCAGGGTGAGAACTTCAGTACATAACAATATCTTCTTAATGATACCAGAAACTTTATGAAGTCATGGCATGAAGAGAATCAATTTTTGGTTATTTTCTCCCCTTCATGCTATATTATCCACTACAGACTCATCAAAGTCCAAACTTAAACAGTTTGGAAGCATTGTACACAGCAAACTTCATGAGCCATGCAGACGTGCAGCAAAACTTTGAAAGTATACACACACACACACACACACACAATTTCTAAATATTTATGTATTGATTGTCCTGCCTCTCCTTGCTTTTTCTCCAAGTTGGTAATGTGCTACTTTTACTTTATTGAGATGGACTGATAGTAACTAACTTTAAAACACTTTTAATATCCCCCCACTTCAGGAATACACAATAGATGTTTTCTTCCGCCAAAGATGGAAAGATGAGCGATTAAAGTTTAAGGGTCCAATGAACATTCTTCGACTGAACAATTTAATGGCCAGCAAAATCTGGACTCCAGATACATTCTTTCATAATGGAAAGAAGTCAGTAGCTCACAACATGACAATGCCAAATAAGCTACTACGAATTCAAGATGACGGGACTCTCTTATATACCATGAGGTGCACATTTTATTTTGTCTTTTGATCACTGTCCTGGTAAGCTGTTCTCACTTTAGCATCAAGCCAGCATGATCCCTATTATTAACACTCTCATTTCACGGCATCCTGTAGCAAACACTTGGGTAAGCAGACTCCTAACATGCAAAATACGCCATCCATTTCCCAGAGGTACTGGATGCAGAAAAGAACTGCATCCTTCCCAGTGCCCTGATAATCTAAAGACCTCCCTAGTAGCCTATTCACACATACATACCACCCATTGCATGCTATGAAACTAGCAGATGAATAGTTTTGAGATGCCCCAATACAGGTGGATCAGAGATCTGTTACATTTGCAAAAAATACATAAACTTATCAGTTTGCAAATATTGGTTCAGTTTGCATGAACATGTGGATTCTAAAAAAGGAGACTGCAGCCACTGCACTCCTCTACTGATATTTCTGCTGTTGCGCTATCCAGGGCTTAGCATTTGAACCTAGGCTCGTGGTTTGTCTCTTTCAGCCCAACCACAAGCTGTAAACCAAGCACAAACCTTGTTTGCAGCACATGGCTTGTCTAGAATGAGAACACCTATGAGCCTGAGTTCAGATGAATCAATAAGCCAAAGCAAGAGGTCCAAGGAATTAGTGTGTTGCCCATGGGAACCCATATGCTTGTACGTTCACGCTAAGCCATGGTTTGACTTAGTGTTTCATGCAAACCAGTTTGCTGCATGTTTCTAGTTTTGCTAGATGAGTCTTTGCTTTGATGCATTTATTTTCTGGGGTGCTTTTATTGAAACAATCAACATTAAATTATTTATCAGTTTTATTTAAGGTACGTGCCTTTAATAGGACTTCTGTGTTCATGTGGCACATATTTTTGAACTGAATGTTAATGGGTAACCTGTAGTTCCATAATTCGCCATTTCATTCAGCTGGCCTTATAGTTTTGGGATCCGTTTTGTTGTGATGAGGCAGTGTCCTCTGAAGGATCAAATAAAACAAATAAAGGACAAATAGAGGGTTAAGTTTTAATTGATTTTGTGTAATTAATCTCTGCAATCTGTAAATTCAGGGGTTTTTTTTATGGAATTGGTTTTCATGACTCTTTAACAGCAGACTTAAGTATACAGTGGTCTTTTCCCTTTTAGGCTTACTGTCCAGGCTGAATGTCCAATGCACTTAGAAGACTTCCCTATGGATGCCCATTCGTGCCCATTGAAATTTGGCAGCTGTAAGTAACATGGCTAAAAGCGCAGCCTCTAGCTAGTAAATATCTTACATAGTTCAACATCTCATTTCTGCTCTTGGACTTGCTCACAATTTATGTATGCTTCAGCAACATTGTGCTGCATTATATGTTCTGGGGTTTTTTATATTTAAAATAATTCATTTCCAGTGCTCTTGTCTTTGAACATGTTAGCTAATTCCCTGGGTTCTTGTTTTTCCAGAAGATATTATGGCCTAATTGCAGCATTCATCATAAATAATGTCATTTATTGACCAATAGGTTTAAATCGTTATAGTAGCAGAGTGACACAATTGTTAATGCAGCGCCTGGATAAGAATAATTACATACCTGATACAGCGTGGAAAATGAAATAAGATATCTGAAAAACATGTGCTTTGAAATTACGCCAATGCGGTTCCTACACAAGCTGAAGTTTATCTTAATGTTTTGTTCTTTTGTACTTGTATGAAGGCTGTAGCAGGTAAAATCTTCTACAATACTCTTCTAATGCAACAAATATGCTTTTTAAGTTGTACAAAATTGTTGGAGCCAGCCGTTACAAATGGCGCAGTTTAGCATAAAATAAAGACACAGAGAGCCAGCAATATTTTCAGGATGGTATGAGCAGCTCCTTTCGAACCTCCCTCTCCTCCTGTAGCTTCTTTTATTATCCTTGGCCGTTTGCCAAAGTCTCACATTACCTCATCCGGTCAAGGCTTTAACCCACCCACAAACCATATAAGGTCATCACTGCCCAGAGGAAATACAACTCCATTTAAGGTCAATACATTCCAATACATTGTAAAGCTCAGAGTGCCTTGGTCAGCCGAGGTCAGGGGGCACCCTGCAATATTACAAGCCTTTGCCGTGGCTTTATGACTCCCACACAAAATAAGTGCAAATGAAAATGCATTTGCACTAAATAGTGAGCTGGTTCACACATCATTTAAATCAAAGTTTAGTTTAATTATGATTTAAAGGTGAATGTGTAGAGAGATTGTGCATGGGATTAAAATTGTGGCCCTTTGCTTATACCCAGCTCCTGCTTCTGTTGGGCTGTTTGGAGCTTTGTTATAGTTTGGCTCAGTGTTATGTTCAACCCAAGCAAAGAACAATCCTTGGTTACAGCTCACTTTTTTTGTAGAGAGAAACGAGCCAAACCATTCCACCCCATGCACCAGCACACTGTACTTAAGCTTAACTATGGTTTAAAGTGATGTGTGAAGCAGGCTAATATGAGGATAGGCTAACTGGTATGAGTCCATGCTTAATTCAGTTTGTGTGGTGGAAAGGTGACAATATATCTCACTAATATTTTGTTCTTCCTTTGAGAAGTATAGACTTGGCTCAGACACTACACAAAAAACCATGGCTTGTAAAATCACATGGGTTGTTGTGACATCTGAGCAGACATTTTGTGAATCATCTTTGCTTTGAAGCTAGTTTGCAGATCACACTTTGTGTAATTCTTTGTGATAAAATGTTCTTCACCAAACTAGTAATAATATACATTTTTATTGTGGTTGTGAATTACGTTTTATACATTGTGCTTTGAACTTAGGCATCAGCCTCTCAGTTAGATTTAAGCAACTGCATCTCACCCAGGAGAAAGGATGTCTCTTTTGATGTGAATGCTCTTGCAAGTTTTCAAGGTAAAATAGGTTGAGTCACCTAAGAATTACATAATGAAAGAATCCTTAGTTGACACTCTTAGTCCACACATGGACACAGACAAACAGGAGAGCCTCAAAGGGTCTTAGGGAAGGGAGGCATTGGTGAATAGGATCATTGTTTTGTCCAGGGTTTCCCAAACTTGGGTCTTCAGCTGTTTTTAGACTACAACTCCCATCATCCCTAGCTAGCAGGACCAGTGGCCAGGGATGATGGCAATTGTAGTCCAAAAACAGCTGGAGACCCAAGTTTGGGAAACCCTGGTCTAGTCAGTTAAGGAAGGACTCTGGATGCCTCAGATTTTAATTCCTGGACACGACCTAAAGGAAAAACAATATGTGCTCTGGTTAAGATCTACGGAGCAAATAAAAGTAGATAACACTGATGTGTTTGAATCTTTAATTTGAATTTTTGCTGAGATTGTGTAAAGCAGAAATCTTTTTCCAAAGCATCTCTTTGGGTGAAAAGCTTCCTTTTTAAAAGAAGAAAATGCTAATGTATAATGCTGAGAGTGTCCAATGGTTTGATGAGGGAATTTGATGGGGAAAGGCTCTAAAAGGCTCCTGTTTTTCTTACAGGAAGTCAGGGCTAAGCAGTCTTTCCTTTTGTTATTTTCAGTTGGGGGGGGGAATTAAAGGCTTTATTACCACACAAAGAGCACCAGGTTTATTTGATCCATGGATGCTGCTTCTAAATGCTTTCCTTAATAAAGACCATAAAACCTTCTGGCAAGTGGTCTCAGGAGTTTTGCATTCTTGATCACAAGCTCTAAACCGTTGTATCTCAGTGCATGTCTGAGGACCACTTTAGAGCCAACTTTACAGACACAGATGATATTATTACATCTTATTTAGGCTCTCTACTTGATGCTGTGCTATGAGTCACACCAAAATGGAACCCAGTTTCTGTAAAAGAAGTCTTACCTGTGATTCCTCAGATCAAGAGCGGGAAGGATCCAAGGATTGATTAATATCCCTCTGAAACTTATAAAAGTAAGGCAACCTTGGTGGGCACCATTGTTGGATGCCCTTTTTACTACAGTGAATTGTTCTGGCATGATCCTTTCTAGCTGAAAGAAGCAATAGTGGTACCTTTTTTTTAAAAAAAAGGGTAAAGCTTGTGATCTGGGAAACTGTAGACTTATAAGCCTGCCATCAGTCAAGGGGGAGTTGTATGCCAGGTTCTTAAGCAACGGAATGATTTATTTCTTAGAATCTGAGAATATACTTATTGATTCTCAAGCAGCATTTAGAGAAAATTGTTCAACCCTTGATCACTGTCTGATCCTTTGTCACCTTCCTGAAAAATATACAAGAACCTTGTGAGGGAAACTGTTTGCTGCCTTCATGGATTTAAAGGTAGCTTTTGGTTATATCTCCAGGGTCAAGTTATGGCAGAAAGTGGATGAAATTCTTGTTGATAAAAGACTTCTCGCTTCTTCCTCTTTTGCCTTTGTATTGCAATAGTCTTTCACAAATCAGATGTGGTAATAAGGGACAGTTTACTAAAGATAAACCCACAACCAAGGGAGTTAAGCAAGGATGTATACTTGCTGCTACTTTGTTTAATTTGTTCTTAAATGATCCCAGAACTGCCTTGAATGACCCAGATGGACTCCTACCAAAACTAGGTAATAGGAAAATTTGTATCTTACTTTATGCAGTTTTTTTCCTCCTGCTCTATACTTGGGCTAAAATGCCTGTTATCTCAGTTTTTAATCTATTGTAAGCACAATTGTTTAAAGTTCAATTATGGAAAAGCAAATGTTTTAGCTTTTGAAAACAGCATTTCCCAGCATAGGTGGGTTTTAGATGATCAAATTATGGAACAAGTTATATAGGGGGTAAAATTCAATCATGCTACATTGTGGTCTACTCACAGATACCTGAAACATGCTTTATAGAATAGGAATGTAATTGTTATTGCATTTCACACCTAATTATTGAAGCTGAGCTTGAGCACTAAGATGAGATGGTATTTATTTATTCATCTTAAAGTATCAGATACCATTTTTCGGAACAATTGTCTCACAAAGTGGTTTACAACCATTAAATACATCAGCCATCATTAAAATACAACAATAAAACTTCTGAATTTGATTAGAATAAGGCAGATGAACAAATACTTGTTTGTCAAATGCTGTACACCTCAGTCTGGAGGTGGAGCTGGAGGTGGGAGAGACACATATACCTGTATATCTAAAGTATAGGGTATGGGCTTCTGAGACCTGTAGCTGAACATCCCAGCCCTTGGAGACCTTTCATTCTCAGTTCAGGGATGAGGTAGTTTTCAATTGACTGTCCTAAAAAGTGTGCAAGAGGGGATGTTCCATAACCTCTGTCCCACGATGGGTAAAAGTGAAAGTCTTCAACACAACAAAAATGGAGCTCACCATGCACGCAGAGACCGGGGGAAAAATGAGTAAGAAGCTCTATAAGAAGCTAGCACCATTCCTGTTGGATGGGAGAAAAATGATCCCTGTGCAGCAGGAAACAATGTTTGAAGAAACATCCAAGGACCAGCAATATGAGTCTTCAGCCCTTGACCCAGATGACATTGAGATGTCTCCCAGCACAGATCCAACAGAGGCAACTATTCATTTACAACAACTAACACATCCTGCAATGAAGCCACAGCAGTACACATTGCAGAAGGTTGTTGTGCACCAGGAACTATTCTGGAGGAGCCTAGAGGACACAGTAGGTCAGTGCAAGGGGATCTCCTAGTGAGCAGCTTGCTCTAACAATAGCTATTGGTGAACTTTTTGACCCTCTGCCTGCATCTACCTCTCCTTTGCCCCGTTCCCTTTTGAAGAACTAGAGTCTCTTAAAAGGCCAACGCTCATCTGAAGGGAGGTATGTTCCCTGAGCTCCACAGTCTCCAACCTAATGCATTTCCTGTGCCTGGTGCACTCAACACACCCTTGAGAATCCTGTCTCTGATTCTACAGGGACTGGTACTACGGGATCTCTTCTGCCTGCTAGCCTTGGATTTCACGATCCCTGATCTTCAGCATGAGATGCATAGTCAGGAACCTAGACCAGCTCCTTGGCCAGTGACACTGTAGGCTCCAGTTCAGTGCCTTGGTCACTGAATGACTCAGGGATCATGACAGGCACCTGATGTTAGGGACTAAGTACACTGATTTCCCGAAGGAAGTAAAAGGGCATGGTCTAACATGTTGTTCAGGCTCCTGCTCACCAGTAACTCTCGCTGGTGAAACTGTGGGAAAAGCCTGCATCACTCTAGGCAGGATCACTTGAGGTCCTGTTGATCCTAGAATGCAACAGTGGAAAGCACCCTGTGCCATGATGCCTGAGAGATGCAACCCATGGTTTGGAATGAAAAGATGGATCCAACGTTGCTGCTGCTTAATGTCGGTGAACCAGATGTGTGGGCCATCTCTCTCTCAACCTCCAGTTCTCATTTGAAGATTTATTCTTAACTTTCCAGAGTTAATTCTACATGGTTTCTGATGAGAGCAGTCCCTGCACACACCACAGTTCAGCCCTGGTCAGCCTCTCCTGCTTTCAAGTTTCACAGAGTTACAAGGTGAGTGGTTTTTGGTTTTTTTACACCTCTCTTAAATGTCCTCCTCCTCCTTGCTTTGTTGCCAATGCTTTATGTGAAATTTAAGAAACTGGTTCAAACTGCAGCAACTTCATGACGCCTAGGTGCACCATGAATGTAGTGTTTCTCAAAAGATGCTGACAACTCCTACATATACGTTGCAGCATATACATCTCTCACAAAATATAGGGGTTCCATTATACTGACATAAATACTCACGTAAATACCCCTGCATTCCCTCAAACAAGCAGCCCTGAAGTGCATGCCTGAGTCATTAACAATAGAGAACCTGCTGTGCTTACCATATTTGCAACCGAAACCAAAGATACCTTGAACACTGTTTATCCACTGAAAATAGAGAGGGTGTTGCCTACTGACCAGTCCTTTATTTCATGTACAGGTGTAGACGAAATAAACCCAAATGTGGAAGAAACAGAATGGAATGTCCCAGATAGAAAAGTATTCGCGACACCCCGATCTGTGGAAGCGGAGTTTGTTGGAGAAGAAAACACCCCAAGATGCAGAAACCAAACTAGCCCCACCTTCTCCTGGTGCTAGATAGAGTGGCCAACTAAATGCTCATATTAAGCAGTCAACCTGAGAAACAGGAGGCAAGTAGATAATGATGTCTGTGAAGGACCTGGTCATCAAATGGCAAAGGGCAGGTGAAAGCTTCAGCTTCTTACATGAGCAGATACAAATAAGACACAGAGATATGGTTTGTTTATTTAATCAAATTAAAAAAACAACAACACCATGACTAACATCTTAATACGTAACAGGTACCATTTTCATTATCACATTTGTGCCACTCATTTGGAAGGTAGGGACAACAAAGCTGATTTTATCAGCATGTCCTGGATAATGTCATTTTATTTTCCCTGAAAGCCCCAAACATTGATTGCAGCATGCTATTATTTACTTTAATATTTAATAAATTATAATTCTGCTTTAAATTGATCTTAACTGTGATCCTTTGTCTATAAAAGTATAGTTAAGACAATAAAGAGCTCATGGATATTTATGTGATGCCATATTTTGGAGATAAGATGACCAAGTATTTTCATTTCTGAAAATGGAAGGGTCAGGTATTTCAAAATTACTCTTGTGCTATATATAGTCTCTGTTTTTTTATGTTATTGTTTATGTAAATTTAAATGAACAATAAATAAATAAAGGGCTGTTTCACTGAACACCTCCGGTGGTTTGTTTGTTTGTTTGTCTTTTGCCACATTTGTGGGTCATGAAACGTCCACTGTCTCTATTTCCAAGCAAACTGAAAACATAGTTTGGTCAACGTTGTTCAATGGAAACAAAAATGTTTTGATTTACAAGAGAAGAGTCGCTTGTAGAAAGAACAATTTGTGGATGAAACTGAATAGAAAGTGCAGAGCAAATTTATTCTGATTGGCTTCAGATAAATGCCTAGTCTATAAACAATAAGTAGGGTCAGTAAGAGAACCACAGCAGAGGGCAACCCAACAACAGAGACAGGAGAAGCATTGGGGGTGGTTTTTTTGCTTCGTGTTTTCCTTCTTTCTCTCCCTCCATGATGGGGTGGAAAACCTCCCTCTTCTCCTCTCCCATGTGCAGCCATCACTGCTTGACAAGTAAAGGGTATAGAATGGGGACTCTGGGAATTCACATTTTGATCGTAGCTGGAATTGAATTTAGGGGCTTTGAAAGCTCAGCTCTCATTTGAGGTTGGCTTCTCTGAGCCTCCAACTTCTAATTCAAGCCTGGGTCTTGATTCAGGCTTTAGGTCCAGTTTTGGTTGCCCTGTATTATGACATCTGTCAGGAAAGAAGGGAAATGTGTCCCTGCTGATTTTCCTTTACCTCTCAGCAACATTCAATATAATTGGCCATGGAGCAACTGTCCAAGTTGGGGGTGGGTGCCATTGCTTTGCAGTGATGCCAGTCCTCCCTGGATGGTCCTTTCCAGGGGGTAATGCTTGGGCAGTGTTCTTCGGCTCTGTGTAGCTTTCAATGTGGGGTTCCTCAGGGTTCAAATTTATCCCCTATGCATTATGTGTAGTGCTGCCTTTGAAGATGGTTTGGAAATTTCAACTGGTGCAGAATTTGGCAACCAGTTAGCTTATCAGGGCAATTTAGTTTAAGCATGTTACACCGATCTCATGGTGTAGAAGGCTGGATGTCCTAGAGTATGATCATTGTCAAAACCACATTATGGCTTTCTGAAATTTACCCAGAGGAAATACATGTTTTAGGACAAATTTCCAGTTCTTTGGGGGCAGTTTTCTAATATCTGGCCTGGAAATGGCTCTAATATTGCAGGTGCAAATAAGAGGTTTGCTATACCTGTAGAGAAGAGAATTGCACAAGCTATGGCTATAAGAACTTCTGCAACCTGCTTGCAGCATTTTTCTGTACTGCTTATGTGGTATTCTGTGAAGTGGTTTGAGTCTTCAGTAGCTATTTTCTTGATGATGTGATCATGTTAGGGGTTAAGGAGAAGGTTATGGTTGAATTCCTTGATTTGGACTTCTCATGAGTGGAACATAAGGACACAAAGAAATCGAGGTGCAAAGAAATTGTGATGAATTTTACATCCACAAGAATTATGATAGTATAGTTATCCAAGTACTCTGATGCTAAAGGTTTATAGTTTGCAGTTGTCTATGTTGGTATCTCTGGGCAACATTGAGGTGTGCTGATTTTCACATTGATATTCATATTGAAGCAGGAATTTCTTCTCCAGATGATCAAAACTAGTTAAATGATGTGTCCATGAAGCCCTTTATTATTAGTGATCAGACATATGCCATTCTGCTGCGGTTAGTGAGAGTCTATAGCTGGCATCTCACAATGTCAAAGGATTCTGGATCAGCTATTGTAATAGCAATGTATAGTTGTTGTTAAACCACTTTGCTTTTTTAACGAAATACATAGCATATAAGTATTTTTTAAAATTAATACATAATAGCAGTCTTATTCATTTCTTGGTATATACAGGATTGTTTGTGTTTTGGAAATATATTTTGCTTTCATACACTGTAAGTTTTCTGAGTTTGTTTTTGGCAGAGTCTATGCTGTCAAAAGTTCCTGTAATTCAAATCTGGTAACTTACTTTCACAACTGCAAACCCATGTGATTTAATGCAGATACAATAACATGAATTCCCTTAAATCTAAATTAAAAATTGCCTTTAGGAAAAACTAACAATTTTATACAACTAAATCCATGTTTTCCATTGTAGGATAACATAAATGAAGTATCCCATTCTTTAAATATCTTTGCTCCATGGCATCTCCTGAAGGCCCATCAGAGATCAGACTTCTAGGGGGCGAAATCATGAATAGATGTGGGGAAACTTTGCCCACCCCCAGTTGTTGCTGATCTTACAACCCCCATCATACCTGGCCATCTGCCATGCTTACTGGGACTGACTTGAGTTGTAATTCAACAACATCTGGAGGGCCAGAGGTTCCTGACACCTGCCCTAAGATGTTCATGGGAGATGTTTACGCTGAACAGTCTTTTTTAATCAATTTTGAGATAAATATGTTGCATCCTTAATCTATTTTGACAGCAGATATCCAGTATTTTCACAATCACAAAGCAAGGAATTTTGGATGCAGTTATGTGCTCCATATGCCCCTTTCTTCCCATGTTGTTCTCTCACCTGCTTCTGAGCAGGTATCAGCTGGACGTATGCACATAGGGCCTGCCATCACTTGAGTGAAAGTTAAGGGAAGGGAGCGCGTCTACGCCCTCTCTTTTTCCCCAGTCTGGCTTCTCATCTCTGCTGAGACAAGCAGCGCAGGCCCCTGGGGAACACTGCAGGCCCAATGGATGGAGTGGGAGGTTGTGGGTTGCTGCACTGGTGCCCGCACTGATCTGTAACCATCTCCGCCTCCTGTCCTCTGCACATGGAGAACCACTTTGCATCCTTTATGTGTACTCTTACATCAGGGATTGGGGAGTTTTGTTGAGGGTCACATTCCCTTAGTGGCAATCTATCAGAGCCATGTGCCAGTAATAGGTGGGTCCAGAGCTCAAAGTGGGTGGGGCCAGCCCCTTCTCCCTTTTACGGCCACCCCTTTTCCCCCTCCCTCTCTGTCTCCCTCCCTGTCTCCTAACTAAGTTGATGGCAGAGGGCCAGGGCTCTCAATGGATTTGCTTGTTGACAGCTTCTTCCCCCATCACTCAATCCATTTCAGGTTTTGCCCTTCCCAACCTATCTCTCCTACCTTCATGAAACTGGGCCAAGGCCTGCATAGGTTCTTCCCCCCTGTCTTACATAGACAAAGCACTTCCAAGTTCCTACTGCTTAAGAGATCAAGAAAGTCAGTGAATATCAGAGGCTGTGCTGAATTCTCTGAGCCAGCTATTCCCAAATAATTGCTCTTTTGAGCTGATAACGTGTCTTCTTATTTCCCCCCTGTAGATGCATATACATCTTCAGAAGTGACCTACAAGTGGACCTTCAATGCATCTAATTCAGTAGAAGTAGCCCCAGACGGTTCGAGGTTGAATCAGTATGATCTCATAGGGCAAACAATTGGAGAAGAAACAGCTAAATCAAGTACAGGTTAGTAAGACAAAGAAGAAACCGTTCGAGTCCTTTTTCCTTCAGCCACTGGTGCACTTTTGGCCATATATACAGACTACACTCTGTGGCCCCGCCAGTTTGACTTGAGGACATAGGAAATTATAGATGCTAGAACTTAACTTAAGTTATTTATATACCACTGAATTACCAAAGTCTCTAAGTGATGTTACTATAATATGCTATATCATAGAGGGCTTCTATATGGGAGCTCTAGGTTGCAAAATGGCTCATTTAGATATAATTCTCTCTGTTAATTGGAATGTGAACGTCCACATACTCCATTTTTTAGTTTTAGATGCCTTTCTTTCTGAGTGACCAATCATCATTGTTTGAATTTTTCTGTGTTGTGCTTTGTGGCTCCTTGCCCTAATCATTACTCCTTACCCTCCATTACCTTTTCCTATTTGTGGCATGTACACAGATATTTGTGTGCCTGTGCACATAAAATAAATAAATTGCCAGACATTCACAAGAGCAAACATTGCCAATCTTTACTTATCATGTTTCATGGTTACTTACCATGTTTCAAGGGGTTTTTTTTTGGGGGGGGTGTTATCTATTTCTATTGGGTTTTTTAAAAAAAAGATTAATAGGTCCTTGGAACTGGATTGCTCAAATTCAGATGTACCTTCTGCATGTGGGAAGTGGTACAAAAATGTTTGCTTGCACCACTTGGACTACCAGAATCAGAATGGCTGGAATGTGTTCCAAAAAGTTACCACACACATGACAAACCATACACCCAAAACAGTGTGCTAAGGAGCAATAACATGGGTTATTTTTATTTCACAGAGTTTCCATTGTAAGCAGAAATCTGGATTAAATATAATTGTTTTTAAAATGGGCTGCCATTTTGATGATGACAATGTCAGGTGGACACTGCACTGCAAGAAACTTCCATGCGTGAGCTGCACAATAAACCCCCATCTAGGAAGCATCTGGAGTCATAGTTCCAGATGATTCAACAATAGTAGAGTATCGCATTCACTTTTGTAGAGACTGCAAAGTAAAGGAAAATGCACATAATTGTGCATTTAGTTCTGTACTGTTCCCCATCATGCAAATCCCTTTTTAGACCAAAGTGAGCAGCTTAGGTGCAGCTTTTAATGCTTTGAGGGTGTGCTGCTCAAAATTAAACTATCAATCCAGCCAGATGGGCAGGGTATAAATAACTACTACTACTACTGCTGCTGCTGCTGCTGCTGCTGCTGCTGCTACTACTACTACTACTATGGTCAATGACCAATATTCAATATGAAGCTTTGTCCAAATATATAAAATAGTATCAAAACAAAGTAACTAACTATAACAATAATATTACTAGTAACTGTATCATACTATAAAACGCCAGGCATAGAAAGCAAAAGTATAAGTTTGCTGAAATTAGTTCTTAGTTGTGCTTGTGTGGGGCTCAATCTTTGTCTGGATTTACCGACATATAGCTTTTTTGAGAGGGGCGTGTGTGGAAATCTGCAGTATGTTTGCCTTGTTAAAGCAGATGTCTTCAGCTTGTCATGAAAAATGGTTTATTGTGGAGGCAATTCATAATTATTTCTAGCGCTCCTCCTAATTTGATCCATTCATTTCTAGGTGAATACAAAGTAATGACAGCTCATTTTCATTTGAAGAGGAAGATCGGTTATTTTGTGATTCAGACCTACCTCCCCTGCATCATGACAGTCATCCTGTCCCAGGTGTCATTCTGGCTGAACAGAGAATCTGTCCCGGCAAGGACGGTCTTTGGTGCGTATTGTGATGGACACCTGGATCTTGTGTTAGTTAGCATTGAAGGCAGCTCAGCATATCAGGTGCCAGCTACAGCACATTTAGTTCATCTATCTTTTCATTCTTTTCTTTTAAGAATGCATTCTCTTTTGTGATTGAAGTTCATTATGCAGTGTGACAAACTGTGGCTATTTGTCACTAATACTACTTTCAGGTACAGGCCGCAGAGCTCCAGGGAGTTGGAAGGGGATTAACATATGAAAGCAAAGCATGTAGAGTCAATATTCTACTGGCATTGGAATACGGGAGGAAAAAATGTGCCTGGTTTTAGGAAAGTTCTGATGGTAAATGTTTTCAAGTCCAGCTTTCTCTCTTGAATTCTGGTCTGCCATTTTTATGCCATGCAAGTAGAGACCACAGCCTATATCAGGAGTGCTCCCATGCCCAAAGGAAGCTCAGTGCTTCAATGCAATATGGAACTTGTCATACAGCTTTGAGATTGGGATGACTCCATGTCAGAGTCTGGGTACCAGCAAGGGACATTTCTCAATCATGTTCCTGTTGTAAAAGAGGAGAAAGGTCTGGTAGATGTTTGGGTTGCTATTATTATGTGTACAAAGTGGTGACCTACCATCCCGTGTGCCCCTGCCTCCAGCCAAAGTCCCATTAGAACGATACTACATCATGACTTGCTTTTCCTCCAGGGGCATTAGTAGGGTGCAATGACAGCTGTCAACCAGCTGCCACCGAAAGGAGTTTCATCACTACTAATGAAGAGGAAAAGTTGAGGAAGCTGCTGCCAGTGGCAACCTCTTCTAAACTGAACCCATATCATTTTCCCCCACTCAGCCCAGTTTTAAGAACTCCTTTTTTGTGCCTTTCATTACATTTTTTTGTCCCTTTGTTACGTTTTTTTCTTTCAACATAATATTTTCTATGTATCTCAGCCTACACCACTCCCACTTTTGCAAACATCACACACACACACACACAGAGAGAGACAGAGAGAGAGAGAGAGAGAGCCATTTCAGGGCTTATAGGGATTTTCAGAACCAGCAATCCAACCTTCCCATGGGATGGATGGAGGGGAGTACAGTTTCATCGCAGTGAAAACCCCATGCAGAGACAAGTGGAGGCTGTACAGTGGTACCTCGGGTTTCATACGCTTCAGGTTACATACGCTTCAGGTTACACACTCCGCTAACCCAGTGCTTCAGGTTAAGAACTTTGCTTCAGGATAAGAACAGAAATCGTGCTCCGGCGGCACGGCAGCAGCAGGAGGCCCCATTAGCTAAAGTGGTTCTTCAGGTTAAGAACAGTTTCAGGTTAAGAACGGACCTCCGGAACGAATTAAGTACTTAACCCAAGGTACCACTGTATTTCCAATCTGCATTCTTTTTGCTTGCCTAAACATTCCTCAGCTGTTCTGACTTGAGAAGTAACCTCAATATCTTCCTTGAATGCCACTTGAGTTAGAGTTACAGTGGAGAAACATAAGTTGTGCCTCCTTTGTGTGTTTGCCTGGGGCAGGCAGGGGAAAACCCTGGTAGCTTCCCTATGCTAGCACTGGGTTAGGAATACATCCGAGCACAATTATCAAAAGAGCAGTTGCATGGCGACCATTCTCAAACCCAAGAGCAGATGTGCTTGCAGAATAGTGGGTGTGGCGATCACACAGGGTCCCTGGACGTTTGACGGTCTAATGACCCTGTGCCACCCACTGTAATTGCTTTCTTCACTACCACCAACCCATTTCTCACGGGTACACACGGAGTCCAGACAGTTGTTAACATTAACAAATAATCAAGTTTATTTTTATAAGCATGAAAAAGCTTATGGTTTCAGTTAATTTTTCTTGGCAGTTTCTTAATCTTAGTTTCTTTACTGACCCAATGTTCCTAACAACTTCAAACTGATTATCCCAACTAACTATCTGACTCCACCTAACAATTCCTCTCACTCTCTCACAACACAACTCAACCAACCCACAGACTATTCCTCCCTCTTCCTTCTGCAACTCCCAACTCTCCACTGACTTTCACACAACTCCAACTCTCACTCTAACTCCTCCTATCAGTTTCCACTGGCCAATCACGTCACACTCATTTAACCCTTTCCTTATGACCCACCTCGGAGGCAAACACCACAGTGGGGTATGAGCCAAATGTGGAATATTACAACTGTGCTTTTCCATGAAAAGTTTCTTCTTCTGCATTATGCACATGAGTGAGCTTGCTTTTTATATTGGAACACGCTCTGAAGCAGCCTAAAAAGAAACTATTTTTAAAAACTGAGATGTTGAGTATTTCTTGTCTGAGATCTCCTCTCTATTTCACTTTGCTCACATAATGTACTTATAAGCAGTAGGTTGCATTTAAGGACTTGGGATAATGAGGCAGTTTTAATAATCACGCTCTCCAGTTCCTTTCATTTATGACATCTGTTTAATGTGGTTGACCTAAAGTGTCCATGGTGAATTACGACCAAATGATTTGTTGTCTTTGCTTTGCTTCAAATTAGCCTGTGTAAAAAGTTGCAGTGCTGCTAATTGGATAAATCTTGACTATGTTCTTCATAGAAGATGCATTTGAAAAGCATTTGATTGTGCCTTCAGGGACTAGGCATAAAGCTGGCACAAAATTGTTTGGTTCAAGATTCCAATCTGTTTTTATTTCTTAAGGTATCTGTGCCATTTGTGTTTTTTCAGCAATGCAAGTCAATGACTCTGCGCTGCTAATTAAATGCCAACTATTTTTTTTAAAAAGAAAACTTGCAAAATACAGACACATTAAATACACTGGATATTAAAAAAGCATACAAAGGATATCTAAGTCAAAACCTTCACCACCTTTGTTGGTACGCAAAGTAGTTTTTCAGGTATAGGATCTAAAGTCCTGGGCTACATGTGCTGAATATTGACTTGTATAAAGAGCAGGTACAATTTACCCCATGACATGCCGGAGGCACCTTTTCATAATCTGTTTTAGGTTCAACAATAGTTTCCTTTCCAAATTGGTATTTGGGAAGCACAAGTCCAAATTTACCTTTTGTGCATAGAATAGTTTGCATGCCATTGGTCAATCCTGACCAAAATGTTCTTTCAAAGAGTAGGCTTTGACTTAAAGGTAAAGGGACCCCTGACCATTAGGTCCAGTCATGGCCGACTCGGGTTGCGGCCCTCATCTCGCTTTATTGGCCAAGGGAGCCAGCGTACAGCTTCCGGGTCATGTGGCCAGCATGACAAAGCCGCTTCTGGCGAACCAGAGCAGCGCACGGAAACGCTGTTTACCTTCCTGCCAGGGCAGTACCTATTTATCTACTTGCACTGGCGTGCTTTCGAACTGCTAGGTTGGCAGGAGCAGGGATCGAGCAATGGGAGCTGACCCCGTTGCGGGGATTCGAACCGCCAACCTTCTGATCGGCAAGTCCTAGGCTCTGTGGTTTAACCCACAGTGCCACCCGCGTCCCTAGGCTGTGACTTAGTTCACAAATATTTCAATTTTAGAGGTCAAGTGCATGAACAGGAATTTATAACCTGATTGCACGATTTTGTTAGCATTGAGAAATCTATTAAAAAATATGAGGACCAAATAGTGACTACTACTGCTGCTGCTTCTTTTTCTTTGCCCTTCAGTTGAAAACTAGAGTTGTTAGAAATGTTAACAGGATCCCCAAGTTGCTTAGAAATAATACTCAGATAGATATGGAGACATGCTATAAAATTCACTGAATTAATCCGTGTGTGTGTGTGTGTGTTTGTAGTGGTATACATATATTTTGTGGTAAGAGCTTTTTTCTAAAAGATTGCCATCTCTGTGATACAATAGAGATTTTTTTTGTTTTTGTACTAATTATGCCTGCTTCCTCAGCATTGCTAATTTTCGTACAAAGGCAGGTCAGCCACAGGCAAATCATCTTTGCATAGTTCTCTGTCCTGGGGGAGGACAGATAATGTGGAGAGTTTCTTATTCTAATTAAACTTAATCAAAGTATGTTATATTTGAATGAAAAAAATCACAGCTAAAAATGGAAAGAGTATTAAATATTGGACTTCTGCTGTTTTCAGATTACTATCTTTGTCATTTGGAGGAGACTAGACTCTTGGCATCAAGTAATTTATTTAATGATGCTTTCAAACCCTGCCAGAAAACTACCTCATAAGTTTCAGTTTATGGACAAACTACGCATAACAGATGCAGACTCATTTGTTGAAGCTTGAGTCTTCCTCCCCAAATACATGTAAAGCAATTACAAATTTTAGACAAAAGGTATGGGGTTGGCTTACAACAGAAAGATCCCAAGAACAAATATGAATTAGAAGTGTGTGTGTGTGTGTGTGTGTGTGTGTATAAACCTAACAAATAAATCTGCGTGTTCTTCTCTTGAGCTTTCATTACACTAGTGGGGAAGCTCTGGCCCTAATAAGGCATGGCAGGCCTCTCCATTCGGCCTGCAAGGCCTTTGGGGCTAGCCACCTGCCCATCACCTGATGTCATATGGCAGGCATCCCTAAACTTGACCCTCCAGCTGTTTTGGGACTACTACTCCCATCATCCCTAGCTAACAGGACCATTGGTCAGGGATGATGGGAATTGTAGTTCCAAAACAGCTGGAGGGCCAAGTTCGGGGATGCCTGTCATATGATGTCAAACATGGGATTGGTAAAGCTGCAGTTTCAAAGGTTTGGGAATGCACTCTAAACCTTAGAATCTGCTGCTAATAGCACCACAATAGACCCATGGCTGCCAAGGAAATATTGGGAATGTGTGACTGTTTATTTGCACCTATGCATTTAATTCAATATTGTTTGAATTTGGTGTTTTGCCCTGTTGCACCTTTTTCAACATGGAAAGGCACTGGATTCATAGAGCACTGAATTCAAGCCACTGTGTATTGGCAGTTCAAATAATGTATTGGATATGGTCAGAGGGGTAACTCCTGATATCTCAAACAACCCCTGAAAAATAGTAAATAATTGACTTGTGCTCACCCCACTGCCGCTCCCCACCCCACCTGTTTGTAGTTCTTGTGAAACATGTCAAGCAGAAACCTACTCATCTACCTTTTCATTTTGCCAGATATATGTGAAGCTCATTCATTTTCCTGCAGGAGAGAAACAGAAGTTTCCACTTTGCATGTTATACAAAGGGAAGACAGTGTGAATTTCATATTATCTGTTGGTGCTAGTTTGTTACATTATTGCTACCCTAAAAGGCAATGGGCGGTATCCAACTAAACAAGGGTGCTTAGCAGTGCAGTGGAATTTCCTTGTCCTCTCTTCTACCCACACTGCACTGCAGATCCTGTAAATCTCTTCTGGTGGATTCCCCAATCCTCTGGGGCAGATTTACTCAGTGTGTAGAAAGAGGAAAGGGGTTCCACTGCACAGCCAAAGGTCCTTGTATAAGTGGAACTATTTAGTTTGCTATCACCCAATGTATCTGCACAAAGATACAGTGGTACCTCGGGTTACACATGCTTCAGGTTACATACACGTCAGGTTACAGACTCTGCTAACCCAGAAATAGTACCTCGGGTTAAGAACTTTGCTTCAGAATGAGAAGAGAAATCAGGCTCCGGCGGCGCAGCAGCAGAAGGCCCCATTAGCTAAAGTGGTGCTTCAGGTTAAGAACAGTTTCAGGTTAAGAACGGACCTCCAGAACGAATTAAGTACTTAACCCTAGGTACCACTGTAGTATCAAGTTTTGTGCATATAATCTGGCATACTTTCTTAGTCACAATGTGCATTTTAACTGTGACTTCTGTAGAGCTTTATCTCTCTCCACTGAATTCTGGATCAAGCCCCCATAGTGTCGTTATCAGCTGCAATCAGCAGCTTTACACTAATCATTTGTAATCACTAGTTTTTGCTCCTGATGATAAATATTCTTTTTTAAAAAACAAAAAACAAAACATTCTGAATTACCCTGACCAACACTTTATTTTCCTCCATTTTCTCTCCAGGAGTCACAACTGTGCTAACAATGACAACGTTAAGCATCAGTGCTCGAAATTCACTGCCCAAAGTAGCCTATGCCACAGCTATGGACTGGTTTATTGCTGTTTGTTATGCATTTGTATTCTCTGCCTTGATAGAATTTGCCACTGTAAATTACTTCACAAAAAGAGGATGGGCGTGGGATGGGAAAAGCGTAGTCAACGATAAGGTGAGTGATAAAGAAACGTGCTTAAAGTTCCTTCCAATTCTAAGAAATCAATTTAGTAGCATCTACAGCTGATAGCTTTCTATTACGGAAAAATAATTGAAGTCTTAAAACCAATATAAAGGCAGAGCAGATTGACGCAGGAGAGGAAAGGAAAAGATGCTGACAGTTTGAGCACACACTTCAGCAGAAATTAAATTGTACATATGGAGTCTCCTCCATCTGCTTCATCTTAGAGAAACAAATATTGTCCCAAGGCTGCCTACAAATTAAACAATAGCCCATTTATGCCTGTTAAATATCCAAAATAATCTTAGGCAGCATTTCATTATCTTCGTCAGTTTGTTGCGCGAAAATGAATGAGGCCAAAGCTACTTTCCTATGACGAACCTTAATCAGGATTTTTTTTTAAAATAATATTTATTGAGAATTTAAAATTACAAAGAAAGAAAGGAAGAAACAAGAGAAAAAGAAAAAGAAAGAAAAAGGTAGACAGAAATAGCAATTGAACAATACAAGTCAATAAAAACCAAAATCAAAGGGAAAAAACCACACAATACATCAAAATCAAAAAACAAAAATAAACAAAAAATTAAAAAACAAATCCAATATTCCCAAATCCTTATCTTTCATTAACTTGTTTCATCGACCTCCTCGCACCTCCCTTTTTTGTATTCTAGTTATTAATTATCTCAGCAAATCCTTTCCATCTTTCACAATATTCTGTCATTAAATTACCTTAATCTATTTTAACCTTATCTTACCATAAAAACCCTAAAGCTTAAAACTTAAGTCTTATTTATACCTAATTCTTTTAAGCATAACATATTCTTACATAATTCTTTTTAACATTTCTACTAAAGCCAAATAATTTCATTCCAACATTTTTCTAATACTCATTAATTTTACAATGATTTTCTAAATGAATTTTTAAAACTTTCTTCCAATCTTCATCCATCGTCTCTTCTTCCTGGTCTCAGGTTTTGTCAGTCCTTTCTATCCCATCCATCTAGTCCATCAACCTGGTGACCTTCTATCCGAGGCTCTTAAGTCTTTTCCATGTCCCTTCCACAGGTCTTCTTCATGCTTATACCTGTACTTTACTTTATCTTCTGCTGATCTTATTCTTAATTTCCTTCCTTTCTCTCGGGGAGACTCCAACTTGACAATATCTTTGTCCCTTCTCGACAAGTCAGCCCATTCTCCATAGTCGACACTGAAATCCATATGATATTTAAAGGCATGTTTCAAAATCCCTCCAAAGTTAAAGGCCCCCATAACTCCAAACTCCCCCTGGCCCAAAGCCAAATTCGAAAGGTCGAAACATCCCTGCATAGGGGGATCTATCCAGCTTCCCATCTCCAATCCAAACAGAACTCCATCTCTCCAAATCTGACTTTCTCCAGGTTCATTCGTCAAATCCAACAACTTATGTTCCTGCAGGGCCGCAGCTCTCTCCATTTCTGCTACTTGAGGTTCAGCAACAACCTCCTCCTTTATCTTCTTCACCACTTGATCTGTCAAAGCACATTCCTGGATTAATTCCTGAATGGGTTCTATATAGGTATTCACTGTTTGTCCAAAATTTCCGACTGCAACAGTCATCAAATCCATCTTCTCATGTAGCTGTTCCAGTAAAGCGCTTGTCTTGCAAAGAGCAAGCACTAAAGCTTCTTCTGGGCACATTCTTGTTCAAGGTCAAAGTCTGGTCCCACGATCTTTAATCTCTACAGCTGCAAAGCTCCCCAGAGTGACTCTAATAACAGTTTCACAAGCTCCCTCTAGGGGAAACAATTTCTATTTGTATCCGTCTTTTTAAAAGCAGATCTAGCAACAAAGTTCCTTTCCTTTTTCGGATATTTTGTTCCTTTTAAATGCAAAAGGGAACATTGGAATCAATATGTTCCTCTTTTTTAACTATCTGTCAAAACGTTTTGTCCAGAGTCAATGAACTTCCCCAAAGCATCTGTCCTGACACCCCGCTCCCAGGTTCAAGACAGTGGAAATTTATCTTTCTTTACTCTCTCTTCTGTAGGTTTAAACAGTCTAAAAAGATTCCCCCCTCTTCTCCTGCTTCCAAGGGGGGGTTAGTAATTTTAACTGATGGAAATTTAATCCTTTACAAATGACTTTCCAGACTCTAGCTTGCAATGTCTTTGCTTCAATCTATTTACAAAAGCGGAAGGCGGACTTCCTGTTTAGACCTTCCCGCTTCGGTGCCAAATTAAGAAATTTCATAGTCCAGACTAAGACTTCCGGGTTAGCGCCTCTGGCAATGGTGGATTTCCTCTGATCGGGAGGAATCCGCTTCGTGAGAATTAGGGTCTGGACCGCCGCAGCGAGGCGGAGACCCACTAAAAACCACAGGCGGGAGAAGCCTGTGGACGTGGGATTCGGCTGGCACCTTTCGCGCCTCCCCTACTCGCGGGGAAACCCGGTCTCGGGGATTCGGAGCAACGTGGGGTGAATGGCGCGGTGCTTCGAATACACTTCTCTTTTCACGGAGTGAAGCCGCATTGCTGTTGCCGGAGAGCGCTGACTTTTTCCTGTGGACAATTGGATTTTAAACAACTGCCCGTGAGTAGAACGGAAAATTGGACTATGAAATTTCTTAATTTCGAACCTTAATCAGGATTAATGAAACCCCACACTTCATATTTCAGTCCCACATTTATGCTGTTGTGTGAGAAACCTGGCACTTGCTGTTTTAGCTTAAACACTTCTTTGGTGTGTTTGGTTCTTTTTTATAAAAATAAATAAAAATAAATGTTATTTCTGAAAACTGCACCAAGAGAGATTTTTTTTTGCCCTGAAAAGCTGCATAAAAATATCAAAATAATTAGTTCACATTGGAGCTAGTTTCAAACCAGTTAGTGGTAGAAAGTCAGCAATTTTACTCTTATTTTACTCCATTTTAATCTGCAAAGCTGCATTAAACCCTACTTAAGAGACCTGCTCCAGCTCCCCATTTGGAACTTTTCACTTCACCACAGAAAATAGGGATCTTCTTCATGGGGGCTATTTTTCCCTGTGCGACACAAATAAATAATGTATTTATTATAGTTGTTTACCATACTTCTCCCAGAAGCTAGGGCAATGTAATGTGAATATTCTGTGGGGCAGAGATAGGGGCCTATAGTCATCCTTTTCTTCAACTCTCAGAGCTGAAGGCAGGACTTTGCCCAATATGTTCTAATCACCACACCAACCAGGTAAAGGGTGTGTGTGTGTTTGTTTTTGTTGTTGTTGTTTTGCCAACTTGTTGCTCAACCTGCTAGTTTGCTACATACATGTCTCATGTGAAAGTAGAACTTGCGTGTAGATTAAATTTGCAGGCTTAAGGAATTGTACTGAACATCAGAGAAGTTCTAAGGTTAGGAACATCACAAAGGTCTTTTGGATGTGTCCCATAATACCCATGGATCACAACAGATGGAAATTGGAAATCTTCATTGGATATTTTGGAAGATGTATTAGCATTTAAAGCAGCAACTCAACTGTTGGAGACAAGAGATATTTTTTATTGGGGATGGTTCCTCCCCCCAGCCCTACATAGCCTTATGTTTGAGCATAAGTACTAGCTCACTAAAATCTTTTGGGCGGGAGGAGATTCTGAAGTTTCCAAAGGAACTGGAACATTTTGAGAACATATGTTATTTACTGTGCAGTCAGATTCCTTGCAACATCTGTCTCCCTCCTAAGCCTATTAGGATTTTGCATCACTTATACAAGGCATCATTTTCTATTCTGTCCTGTATTTGTCAGTGGCAACTTGCCGATTTTATCAATTGATTCTGTAGATGTGTATTATTTGTGTGTTGGGGAGAAGAGAAAGATTGGAAAGATTACCAAGAGGCTTGCTGAATCTAGGCACACATTGCAGCCGATGTGGGAATTACACATGCTCCACATTATTAGAGCTAACACCTGAGATTAGAGTTGCTATGTATCAACAAGACCTGAAGGTATGCTAAGGTACTCTAAGAAGGCAGGTGAAATTTGCATGTTTCCCCACTCAGCTATACATTTGCACAGAGGAAAGAGAGAGCCTCGTCAAAATAATTCCAGTTTCCGCAAAACCTGCTTTCATGTATGCATTGGGCGAGATTTTCAGAGGAAAACAACTACCAGGAAAACAACTACCAGACTTTTAGAAGACATCTGAAGGCGGCCCTGTTTAGGGAAGCTTTTAATGTTTAATAGATTATTGTATTTTAATATTCTGTTGGAAGCCGCCCAGAGTGGCTGGGGAAACCCAGCCAGATGGGCGGGATATAAATAAATTATTATTATTATTATTATTATTATTATTATTATTATTATTATTATCATTATTATTGTCTGTGCAATGCTGCAGTGTATACATGCCCCTGAAAAGGAGCTTACAGTATTTCATACACCCAGGGGGAGGGGGAGGACTCAAGCAAGGGTAAGTAAAACTACTAGCCATCATTGTGACATAATGCAAGCACCATGATTGGGTAATCAAATGCCATTTTTGTTCCCCCACAGAAAAAAGAAAAGGCATCGGTTATTAAGAAAAACAACGCCTATGCAGTGGCAGTTGCCAATTATGCACCAAATATCACGAAGGACTCTGTTCTCCCGACAATCTCCAAGAGCGCTACCACAACAGAACCCAACAAAGCCAAGCCAGAAGCCAAGCCACAGGAAGCAAAGAAAACCTTCAACAGTGTTAGTAAAATCGACAGGATGTCGAGAATAGTTTTTCCAGTCTTATTTGGTACTTTCAACCTAGTGTACTGGGCAACATATCTAAACAGGGAACCTGTCTTACATGGGTTTTAGGAGCAAACCTTAACTTTATGCTGAGGGCGTATAACATCATTATAATCAGATTGTTTTCCTATGTACAGTACGACTAATAACTGCTAACCCGTGAACCGAGATGTACAGAATGTATATAGGTATCATGTCCATTTATCTCCAAAGGAGGTGCACAGAGTTTATTCATGGGATCTGTAAACAGATGGCACCCATGGCAAATATAGCCCGCTCTCCTATCCGTGTGAGTTCTCCTAAACTGGTATTCAAATAATGCTGAATTATATCCATACAACCGCATATGGTCCTACATAACTATTTAGTAACACTATTTTTTTAATTTAAAGTTTAAGATATTTTTCTATAAAATGACTGATTCTACTTTAATGCAAAGAAACTATCATTTAAAAGAGAAGGGTTTTTTTATAAGAAGTAACCTTAATTTCTTACGGTAGCAGTGCCCATGTAAATATTACAGGTGTGTGGTGAGCTCAAGTATTCTCTTATTCGCAACCATTATGAATGCAAGATATATGTAAAGGCTATTGGAATGTCAGGGTTAAGCACCTCTTTACTTTTGAGTCAAGCGCTGAAGTTGCTGATTAACAGTTAGATCTGTGGTATGGTCAGCACTCTGCCCCTGAAGCAAAAGGATTGGGTGCTTGGGCAGGTCTCACAAGAAAAGAAAAGTTTCCAGCCTAGCCCCAAAGCTGGATTCATATCAATCATTGTAGCAAAAGTGTTTTTTCTTTCTTTCTGTCCAGTGCTAAAGTGTTTTATAAAAGCAGTTGTGCAATGTGGGGGGAGGGATATCGGGGGCAAGGGAATTGATGCTGAGCCAACCTCTCCGTGCCACACTGTGGTAGAAGTTGACAACATACTTTTTAAAAAATAAAAAAGTGATGATACACCAAAGTAAACAACACAAACCTGCTTGCTCCTAGTGAAAAACATTGGCCAATATTCATTCAGTCCTTAATAGTTCTTCTAGCTGTTAACAGCTCCCTGATGTGGGCCCAGGAGGGGTGGGTCATATGGCTCTTTTTCAATATGAAAAAAAAGAATCATATGAAAAAAACATGATTAGGGGCAGTGTTAATTAATAACAGTGACTTCATACATTATTTTCTTGGCTCATCACAGATGTTTTCTATGGTGAGCTTTACAGGCACTTCCTTACATAGCATTGCATGGGCTGTTTTGGCTCTGATATATTCAGGTAGATATAGAAAGAAAGGGATGCTTGTCTGGCAAGTGGTACAGAACAATCAAAGTAGGGTATTTCTTTTTTGCTGCAGTTGCACTTACTCCCAGAACTTACTCCCAAATAAACATTCAGGGTCAGGGGTGTAAATAGTGCACAGTAAGGTGAGATCAGGTATTAGAGTTGTTGTTTTGTAATTCGTTGATATGCAGAAGGAGAGCTAGTCTCCTAAATAAATGGTAAACTCTGGATCTTTCAGATGAGCAGTCCTAGGGCTGGTTCACATGTTACTACACTTGGTTGCTGTGCAGTTGACTACTTGCAGCTGAATGTACAAATGGAATCCATTGATTCAAAGCTTGCCCACCTACATGCAGAAGCTGTCTTCTGCTCATGGAGGGGCTGTTTGGCACTGTGCTCCGGAGCGTCGTATGAGAAAAGCAAAACTGGACCCAAATACGTTCTTCCATTTGTGCAAGCTCTTGTAGTAGCAGAAACTTGAAAGCTGCTATAAAACCTACCTGTTGGTGGCACTAGGAAAATAACTGTGCAAACATTTGCAGGTTAACACAAGTGAGAGCTTATCTAAATTTACCTTTCCTCCACTGCTGTTTGTTGCACTCAGCTTTAAAGAGCGGATTTATGCTCCGGGGCGGTGGAAAAGAGCTCTCAGACATGAAACTTTAAAGCATGGAACTGTCCCTGGAAAGGGCAGGGCAAAAGTTGTGTGGATAAGCCCCGGCTGTTTTAATTCTGCTTGTGGGTCTTTGGATTCGATCTGTTTGTTTGAGGCGATAGTGAGAAATGTTATAGCTGTGTTTTATATCGGCAGTGCCCGTGCATTCACAAAGGCAAGTCATTCATCCAGATGTGCTCCCGCAAAAAATTCCAGGGACCCAATACAGATGGGAACATGTTTTTGCAAATGGTTCAATTTGCTCTTTGAAATCTCACAAAGAGCAACATTCTGGATTCTTAGCTGTAGGTTTACAAGGTTACCTAGTAACATATTGCACATAGTAGCCATTCACAAGACAATTTTAAGTATTAATCCCGTCTTGTGAATTGAAACTTTTATAAATTAAAGAGAAGAAGAAAAAGCCAAATGTCCAGAAAAAAAGCTTTCAGATACTCTTCAGGGTTTAAGCATATTGGTAATATAAAACTTCTGTGTACAAGTTTTCTGAAGTACAGTTTCCATGAAATCTGCCTTAAAAGGTTAACTTCGTGTATCCATAGCAGCCACTGGAAACCGTTCTTTGGGATTTCGTTTTCATGAGGGGGTCCTCATGATTAAAGATTATTGCTGCTTTTGTAAATTGCAAGCTTACACTTTGCTGGCATAAATTTACAATGACTTTATATATTAGAAATAATTTTGCTAAGAGGAGGTCTTTTTTTTTAAGAAAAGAAAATCCAGTGCATCATCAATACTTAAATGCAAACGGAAACAAAACTGGAGCCTCTGTTTGCAAATTTTGTATAATATTTAATATTGATCCATTAACTATTTCTCATGAAACCTTTGCAAATATTCCTTATAACCACCCCCAAAAGGCCCTGTAAATCATACTACCATAAATAATTGTGTACTGTATTTAGATTTTAATAATACATTTGGCCAGTCAAAGGTATTTTGATTCACGTACATATTAGCAGTTATTAGTTGACCTTAAAAAAAGATCCACCTTTCTGATGGTGTCTTTATAGTAGAAGCATATGTAGTCGTATAGTGTCATTTATTGCAGTTTTGTACAGTACTTGAGTATAGTGCATAACTAGATATTGCAAAGTTTAACAACACTGTTTAAATATTTCTAAAACAATTTTAAATTACCTTAAGAGGTGGAAACACACATGCACAAAATCAAACGATATTTCCATTTGCTGTTTTATTTTCTGTATTGTTTCATTTTCCTTTAACGTGGTTATGGTCTTTACTCTGCATGAGAAATATTGATGGCAAGGTCACAAATGCATTTTATTGGTTAGAACATTGAGGTAAAATAGATCTTCTGAGATTAATAGTTCCATCCTTTACATGTAAACTCAGAAGTAACCCCACTGAGTTCAGCAGGACTTACTCCAAAGGTGACCATGTGTAGGGTTGCAGCCAAAATCAGGTAAGATACTTAACACAATGAGAATAGGTTGAAAGGATAGAACATTACCTTCCCCATAATGTATACATTTGATCCCCTCTAATCAATTCATCCTCTTCAGTAACAGTAGTTGGGGAAAATGAGCACTTTATTTGAAACATTAAAATAGAAAAAAAATCCTTATTTTCATACCTATTTATATATAACGTAGATCTGTGTAGTACAGAAATGTGTGATAAAGTTGTGCAAGGTTTGAAGGCAAGCAATAAAAAAAAGTTATTCATGGTACAGTTATACATATCTTTAAAAAATGTTTTATTTGTAAAATATAAATATACCCTTTGATGCTACATTTTCCAGGTACAAATAAATATATAAATATGTACATATGTAAAGCACTTGTAAATACTAGTAATATAGACAATTTTATTCAATTTTATCTTTGATTTTGGCAAAGGGCTCTGACAGCATGACTTTAAAGCAAGGCCCATCTCATCAGTTCTTGTCCTGTTTAAACATTACATTCTTGGGAGAATTCTCAATCTGTATTAATATCAGGCATATACAAGCCCACTGCTGCTTGTCGGGGGAAGAAAATAACTACCATATTTTGTTGGCTGTGACACCTCTCTTTTTGGCTACCCAATTCAGATTTCATTCCAAGGGTGGACCAGGTGGTTAGAGACACGATTTACCCAAGTAATATGATAACAGTTCAGTTCATTTGTTGCTTTCTTCCCACTACAAAGAGCACAGGAGATCCAGAGTTTGTGGTCAGTGGGTTGTGAGAGCACCCAGGAATGTAATAATTGGAGCTTTGTTGCTGGTGTGCAGTGTGCAAGCTCTTTTATTGCCAAACGCTATGTGCTTTCAATCTCTTTAATTACCATGGGAGCTGACAGCTCTCAGTACCGCATAGGACTGGGCCTTGAAATAAGGAGGCCAATGACTATATTTTACATCCTACATGTTTCATGTAATCGAGGTGGACAGCTGAGATGTTTTTCTCTTAAACAGTATAAAATCAGAACTTTGTCTTCTAGAAATTGGCAGAGGGATGAGTTTAGCATTGGTTACTCAGTAAGGCACATGTTCTTAAGGAACAGAGGACCCATAAAAAACCCTACAGAATCAAGTAGGTTTCTCCTGTTCTTCCTTTGGATCAGTGTTAATATACATGCAAAATGCAATTCCTATTTATGAATAACCGTTCGTTTTGCAAATTCAGTCTGCACAAAGGGACCTATCTTTGCCCTGTTGCAGTTGTCAGAACTGTTGGAAACAGGCAGAAGTCAAAGCTAGGAATGTTGACTTAAACAGAACTATTTAATACAGTCTGTCATATGTCTGAACACTTAAGTATACAATCCTATGCACATTTAGCTGGAACTGTAAGCCCGTTTGAACATCATGGAACTTATTTCCAAGAAAACATGCATAAAAAAATTGAGCTAAATGTGACTGTTTATTGCAAACATTTATTTTTATTTAAGGCATTCACACACTACCTATTCATTAGCATTTCTAAACAGGACACAGTATTTAAAAACAAACCAGACAGAGAATAAAACCATGAACATCCATCATTAAACAGAACATAAATTCAAATATCACATTTAAAAGCTTCCTGGAATAAGGAAGTCTTTGTCATGCACCTAAAGTTCAGCAAGGTGAGGGCCCTCTCTAATTGTAAATTGGGAGGGAGTTGGGCCCACAACAATGAGTGCACAGCTTCTAGTAGTTACAAGCTGTCTGTCTGAGCCATGAAGGACCACCAACAGAGACTCTCCCCAAGATCCCTTGTGATTGGGCAGGGATATAAAGGATCATCTGGTCCTTAAGATATCCTGGACCCAAGTTGTTAAGGACCTTGTAAATTCGAGCCTGGAACCTGGCCTGGTAACACACGGGCAGCCAGTGCTGTAGTATGTCCCCATCAGTGGTAGTAGTTTACATCTACACTAATAATAATAATAATAAACACTATAGAATATTAGTAGATTCACTGCAAAGGCACAAACCATAGCTTTGCTTATACCCAGGGGTCAGCAAACTTTTTCAGCAGGGGGCCGGTCCACTGTCTCTCAGACCTTGTGGGGGGCCGGACTATGGGGGGGGGAATGAATGAATTCCTATGTCCCACAAATAACCCAGAGATGCATTTTAAATAAAAGGACACATTCTACTCATGTAAAAACACGCTGAGTCCCGGAACATCCACGGGATGGATTTAGAAGGCGATTGGGCCCCTGGGCCTTAGTTTGCCTACCCATGCTTATACCCATCCCATTCCTACTTAAATAGATGAGGCGGTAATTGTTACGTTGTTTTTAGCAAAAGCATACCTCACGGAAAAATTAATGCCTCCAAATCCAACAATAATACCCTGATTCTCAAGTTATGGGTAGCTGTAGTGGTGGCCCAGTGCTGGCTGCAACTACAGAGCTACAGCTATGTCCTGCACAGAGCAAATGATGTCAGTCTGTCCGGTGCTGATGCTTGTGAACTGTGACTGCATTCCAATAGGATATAGATAAGGACAGTTGCACTCATATGGATGGCACTGTGTCCAGCACTTTCTAAATGTATGTTAAGTAGTAATTTTGGTGGTTATATCACTAGCTCCTAGCTAATTAGTTCTCCCCTCCCTTTTCATACCTTTGCAGCCATTCTCAAAAGCATTATAATGCTTTTTTGGGGGGGGGGGGGTTGTGTGTGTGTGTGTGTGTGTGTGTGTGTGTTTGAGAGAGAGAGAGTTGGAGATTGCATGATAGAACCATTCTTGCCTGTGGTATACTTCGTTTCATTTTGATCGCTATCGTCTCGATCAAACAAGTTTTTGCATATTTTCGAAACACCGAAAGAAACATGTGAACACAGATGATAGCAGGTGAATATGCACACTTAGTATGCAATGAAAGTAATATTAGTTCACCTTCAGGTGTGAGGAGTGGTGAATCTCCTATCATCTGCTTCCAGCCTTACTAGCTTTCTGTGATAAAACTCTCTTCTATATCTGGCAGTGCCACATGGATCAGTTTCAACTGACCATGACCATGCTGGGTCAGGGCCCCCTCCCCCCAAAAAACATTGTTCTGGCACAGGGATCATAATGGGTTTTTCTGACTGCTGCTAGGTTCGCTTGCTTGCCTGTGTAGCAATGCATAGGATCTAGCCTGCCTCCTAGTTTTTCATATGAAAATGATTTTAACTATTTTCTACCCATTGTCATTATTTTCTGGTTATTATTTTAAAATGATTAGCGGTATCAATTTTAAGTGGCCTCTGTTTAATTGAGCATGAAATTCAAGTTATAAATGCACTCTTAAATAGACGTACTGTTTATTTTCCTTGGCAGCCTTTTATCTTCCCCCAGTATTTAGCCTAAAGTTTCAACCCTAAACAGAAAAAAATAAGTCTCCTAGATCAGGCATAGGCAAACTCGGCCCTCCGGATCTTTTGGGACTACAACTCCCATCATCCCTAGCTAACAGGACTAGTGGTCAGGGGTGATGGGAATTGTAGTCTCAAAACATCTGGAGGGCCGAGTTTGCCTCTGCCTGCTCCTAGATCCAAAGGTTAGGGACTTTAGATGGGCAATATGTCGTAGTAGCAATGACCAGTCCCTCTGTGTTGTTGTCCATCATTAGTTAATCTTCTTGAATTTGTGCCTAGTAATCCAAAGAATTAATGCAATATGGGTGCTTGTATTGCTCTGATTTTGAGGCAAACACAATGAGCTTATGGTGGTCTGTCTTTGCCACAGTAGCATTGATAGTTGTTGCAATGACTGCTAGGCCCCGTGTTTCCAAAACCTGTGTCTGGTTTGCTAGGCTGGGCTTCCTGCACTGCTGAGGAATCCTATCAGCACAGCTGGATCGTGGGTCACACTCGATGCTAACATTTACAATTGGATACAAAATAATTCTGTATTGGCAATTGGATCAGTAGCATTGAGGCTCCAATGAAGGAATTAAGAATGACTTCAGTGGGAGCATTGCACTGCGTAGCACTAAGTCACAAAGACTATGGTAAGTGTTAGCAGGCAGTTGAAAATTTTATTAGCCACTTAGAAAGATAAGGAGCTGCCTTATGTTGAGTAATCAAAACCATTATTATCTACACAGACTTGGCAGAAGCTCTCCAGGGTTTCACCTTACCTGGAGTTGTCTGGGATTGAGCCTGGAACCTTAGAGGTGCTCTAACACTGAGCCATGACTCTGATCTGTTTTATTTTCTGTTTTCAGAGGATTCCTTGTCCAGGTGCTTGGTGTCAATTCTTCTTGTGCAAACTGCACACTTTTAGGATTGCATCCAAAAGGACAGTCTAGATATAAAGCCTTGTTTGTATGTGCAGGCCATCTTTGCTGCATCGGTACACAATTGTGAGTTGGATCAGAGTGTAAGTGAGGGGAGGGGAGAAGGAAAAACGTGAGAGTTAATATAGGGAACCTTTAATGGGAGAATCTGAAAATGTAGGTGATCTAGGAGTTACAGGGAGCTAGGATAGTGTTCAGTAGATTAACCATCAAGGAAGAGACTGATTTGTGTGCTTTTCTAAGCACATAAAAAGAAGTACAATGTGGTCTTTGGGTTTCTTTAGAGTAGATAGAAAGTGAACCTATTTTGTGTCTTGACTCATTATTCTTTAGCTTGGCACATAATTTAATTCCTTAATGCAATGTATGGTACATATTATAATTTTTGTTGGGTGCAATCTTTTTCTGATAACAGAAAGAGAAAGTGAAAATGCCGCAGCTGCTACAACTTTAGCTTGTTTGCAGTTAAGCTTTCTCCCCCGAAACTTCTATTTCATTTTTACCAGAACAAATATTAAGTCCAAATCTGGGAAAAAGAAGTCAAACTCATAAGACAAGATATACTAAAATTAAATAAAAAATCCTAATGTACTTGCTGCAATTTCAGAATTAGCAGACTCCTAAATTATCTCAGGTTGCATGAAATTTTGCCTTGTGCAGAGAGAATTTTAGTTATCATTTGGGGGGGGGGAGCAAATGTTGTCCTGTCCAACACTTAAATAAAAACTGCTTAGTGGGTTTGTGGTGCTCCTCTGCTAGTTGAAAAAATGCAACCCCTTGCAACAATAGAATAGTGGCAGTTCTACTTGTTGAATTTTGCATCTGTGTTGAAAAGGTTGCAGGGAGAAATTGTTGGATGTGGTGGTACCTTTGGTGAGAACTTCGCATGGATTTCATTAGGTTCAACTATATTGATCAATAGCAAATGAAACTTAATTTAAATTTTAATAGCTGGTCAAAGGCTAGAGTTAGCAGTTCTTGATGCAAAGTAGTCTCTGTGTCTTCAACATCTGTATGGCAATTAAAGTCTTGTCTGGAACAGCTGCTGCTGTGATGATTGCAGAATCCACTATTCTGAATCATAGTTCTGCAGCGATGCCATCAATTCAGGACTTTGGGGCCGACATCCAGTGTCAACTCAGCAGAATGATTAGAAGGGCCTCAAAGAGCAGCAGGGCTGGTGAACAACATTTTGAAGTGACCCCCGTCAAGTCCAGAATCTAACATTGCCTAATTGCACTACACACACACACACAGACACAGACACACACCGTCTTTACATTGTTAAATGAGTACACCTAAATGTACACCTCAAAATATAAGGTGTTATTGTGGAAAATAAATATCTGAAAATATGTGTTCTATATAGGTATGCCTGTTAGAGCAGAGACTGGCAACTGTCTCTGCTGAGTGTTCCCTAGGTGAGAGACCCAGGTTTATTACTGTGTTATGTATGAAATGGCCCTCTGGCTACACAGAGCACTCCCTGCAGAACACAACACTGCTATACTAAGGCAGTCGAAAACTGTGCTCTTTGTGATGGAAATGGGTAGTTGACATGATTCTGGACTGAGAGATTTAATGGATATAGCTTTTATAAGAGAGTGAAGCAGGGTTACTGTTTAATCTGAATTTGAGTGGGAAATTGTGAAATTCTTTAATGGGAGGAATGTCATGAATGAATAAACAAGGTCTTGTTTTCTTTTGCAGAAAAGTAAAATGAGTAGTTGCTGGCCGTTGATTGTTGTATGTTTACTTGAGAAAAGAAGAATGTACTTGAGAGAAACTGTTAATTGGAGTCCTCAGAAAAGGGCATCTACTTATTGAAACATGTAGAGCATTTTCTCTCAGAAGCCTTATAATAGCTGCAAACCAGACCACATTTACTTTAGAGTAATCCTGTTTAAAGAAATGGGGTTTTGCCACTGTAAGTGGCTTGTGGATCTGGCCAATGTGTCTTCCATTGGAACACTATTAATTTGAAATTAATGATGTTCCAGTTTCTTAAAGTATCCTTTTGGTTCATTTATCTTATTTTTCCATACGTTGTTGACTCTAAACCCAGATATCTGATCAACAGAAAATTATTTTACAACCGGATTTTTAAGAACCTGAATCTAGGCAGTTTTGAGTTATTGGAGCTAGCCAGGATTTAGGAAACATGAAAATTAAAGTTGCTGTTGGCTAGAGTAAAATCCACAAGGAAAACTACTTCTTCAAATGATTTACCACATCTGTGTGGGTAGACAAACCCAACTGTGCTATAAATGGTTGCTGATGGGGTTAGCTACCCATGTGTAGGTGAATCCATGCTAAAATCGTATTTTTTATAGAAAGAAGGGTCTATTTAACTAAATGGAATACTTATGAATAAATACGTACAGACTTGGTGTGAAAGTCTTGCTGGTTTCAGTGAAACTTAGGGCTGATTTACACATACACGTGATCATTCTGCATCTGAGGTGTCATTTAAACAGTCCATTCAGACTGTGGGAAGTGCTTTTCCACAGATCCCTCATACAGTGCTACTGTAATGTTTAAAGGCCTACAAGGTTATGGAAATGGCCAGATATGTTCGTCTTTCTTATGGAATTAGAACTCTGCCAGAAAATCAGTGCTCCTTGTAACTTTTAAAGAGCACTTGAAAAGCACTGTGTTTCCTGTGACCTCACCTCATTCATGTATTCTAGATGAACAGGTGTTTGTGAACCAACCCAGAATTACACCTTTCTTTAGTCTGGGATGCATTTTTTCTCTCAATAATATGGGCTGCTAAGTGCTCATAGAGCTTATTTGTGCTGAGGTTTTGGCGTTTGGATGTTTATAGGCTTTTGCCGTAACAACTACCCCAATCTGAAGCCTCTGCAAACTGATATTTCCAGACTCAGTTGGGTGTTTGCATTTGCCTGTCTGGAATATGCTCCACTTGCATTCCCACTCAAGCTGTCAATATAGGTTTCATTCCTGGTTCTTTTGCACACTTCTGTCATTCTCTTTCTCAGATACAGGAAAGTGTATTAACTTTCTCCATGTGGTTAATCATTTATGATTTATTGCACTGGTTCTGTGCCGCAAAACATAGTATGGTAGCCTTTAAGATGGGAGTTGGGGAGTCAATGGGCATGCCAGTTTGAATTCAGTCAACATAGATTTTTGAGCTCATGCACACTTAACTTTGCCCTGTGCTCTCTATGCGCAGGTCTGGGCTTTCCAGGTCTGAGCATTGTTTCCTTCCCTTTTCCCCCGTCCCAGCACTTTCCCTGGGATTTCCCTGTTTTACCGCTGAATCAGAGCAAATGCAAATCCGCAGGAAACCCGATTCCCATTTGCTTTGATTCAGCAGTAAAACACAGGTTTTCCTGGGGAAAGCGCCAGGACGAAAAGAAACCCCAACAGCAATCCACTCCAACACAAACCTGGAAATCTTAGACCTGTGCCTAGAAACACTATACAAAAGGAAATGTGGATGAGGCCTTTTCGTTTGGCAGTTTGAATTTCTGAAGTTAAAGAAACTAATTTACTTTGAAACATCTTATATCCGTGTCTCTCCTCCTTCCTCAGTTTAATTCAGCTAACTGACTTTTTTAAAAAATAAACATTTAGGGATATGTAGAGATTGGTGTGCACCATAGCTTGATTTAGTACTTCTGAAAAGTGTTACGAAATGTGTTTTTGAAAATATGCAAGATGGCTTGTTATTATTTATTAAATTTGTGTACTGCTCTTCATCCGAAGATCACAGGGCAGTTCCTGGTGCACTTATAATAAGCTCTGTAACTTGGTTTTTTTTAATCATACACCTTAAATGTTAATTGTTGCATAATGTCACACCATTCTATTGGCCTGCAACTCATGTAACTTGTGTTCAAGGTGCTCAGGATTGCACTAAATTCAGGTTTTTGTAATAATTAGTTTTTAAACATATTTGGCCTAGAGGAGCTCTAGCGCAAGCATAGGCAAACTCGGCCCTCCAGATGTTTTGGGACTACAACTCCCATGATCCCTAGCTAACAGGACCAGTGGTCAGGGATGATGGGAATTGTAGTCTCAAAACATCTGGAGGGCCAAATTTGCCTATGCCTGATCTAGCTTGATAGAGTTCTTTATCATAACCGTTTAAATTAACACAGAATTAGAGAAGAAATTGTTTGTTTTTGGCAATTCTATCTCAGATTATCATGTTAGTTGTATCTAGCAGTCATGGGTTTACAGTATTTAGCTTTCAGCACAGAATGCAACATGGAATTTATTTATTCATCAAAAGATACATGCATAGATATATGCTCTGGGGGTAAAAAAGCCAACTGCTAAGGAAAACAAGGGGAAGTTTGATGGGACTTCTGTTCAGCACTGAATAGTAATTCATTTGGCTTCATCAAAACCAAGGTTTGTGATATGGATAAAGCGGCTTCTCTAGGCCAAACAAATGATCAAACATACTTTAAAAAGTTGGCAACTTTTGACCCACCAAGCCAAATGCAATCCACTAGCCATGCATTTTTGGCCTGCCAGATGTGTGTGACAAGCCCACTTTTTCTGTGTCCCTTGCTAACAGCAAAAAACAGATTCACTGAACCACTGGTAGGACTCTGTAAATCATGCCTAGCTGGTGGACTGTTTGCCTTGGTGAGATCGAAAGTTGAGCAAGCCTCGTTTATAGCCAGCTTGTTTTCAAATGCCATCTGAGTTACATAGGACCCAAGCTGTTTGGGGTCAAAGCCAGCACTTTGAATTTGGCTGGGGGATAAATTGGAAAGCGGAGAAGATGGTGCAATCTAGGAGTTACAGGCTCCATATAATGCACCCTAGTTAGTGATCTGGTAGCTCCCATGAGCTGAGCACACTTAAAAGGCAGAGCCATGTAGAGTGGATTGCTGTGATCCAGTGGATAACTGTCCCATGTGTGATAGTGACAAGGCCTGACTTTTCCAGAAAATGCTGCCACTAAGGCACTACCCTAATCTAGGGAAAAGTACTCACATTCATAGCCACTATGACCAGGGCATCCAGGGGCAGTGTTGGGTCCAGGGACACTCCTAAAACGTGACCCTGATGAGACTTTTCTGATTTTTTTGTTGAGTAAAAAAAGAGCATCAGTGGTGAATTGTTTGCTTTTTTAAAGAAACACACACACACAAACACACACAAATTAAACACTTGCACAATAAAAAAAAATCTGCATGATAAATGTAGTCTATGTAATTTTGAACATCAGTGTCATTAAAAAAAATCTCTGGATGGCAGTTCACTTTTAAGTGTTCTATAGTTAAGGAGAAAACAAAAAAACAAAAACAAAGTGGGATTATAATATTCTGTAATTTGTGACCTTGTTTAGCTGGGGGGAAAGTTATTGCTTTCATGAAAAATGTAAAAGAAATAACTTGACCAATGTTTGAATGTGTCACTCTGCTTGCTGTTAAAAGAATATTTATTAACCCCCACACAGAATATTGCTAAATATTATCTTTTTCGTACTTATTAAAATAATTTAAATAGACTGTATTTGTTTTGTTTTGGCTCTGACGGCATACCTCTCCACATTTCTGTGTGTTCTGTAAAACGGGAAGAATGGAAGCACTATAATGAAAGGTATTCACATAAAAGAAAAAAAATCCTGTGTTCTGTTGTACTATTTTGTGTGGCAGGGGTATTATGGACACCGCCTCCTGCGTCGAGTGGGAGGCGGATAAATAACACCCAGGACATGGGGGTGGGTGAAAACAAGCCAGCACTTTTGCACTTTGGAAAGCAGGGTTGCCATGGCATTGGGTCAGGTTTTGTTAGCCCCTAAGACTTCTGATCTAAAGCCCAATACACCACAGGTGGTGCTGTGGTCTAAACCACTGAGCCTAGGGCTTGTCGATCAGAAGGTCGGCGGTTCAAATCCCCATGACGGGGTGAGCTCCCGTTGCTCGGTCCCAGCTCCTGCCAACCTAGCAGTTCGAAAACATGCCTGTGCAAGTAGATAAATAGGTACCGCTCCGGCAGGAAGGTAAACGGCGTTTCCGTGCGCTGCTCTGGTTTCGGTGTTCCATTGCACCAGAAGTGGCTTAGTCATGCTGGCCACATGACCTGGAAAAACTGTCTGCAGACAAATGCCGGCTCCCTCGGCCAGTAAAGCGAGGTGAGCGCCACAACCCCCGAGTCGTCTGCGACTGGACTTAACTGTCAAGTGTCCTTTACCTTTTAAGACTTCTGATCTAAAGCCCAATACACCATCCCAGCTTGCCTTCTGGAGAATGCAGTGGCAGTTCACCAACACAGAAGGACCTCTGTGCCACATGACTGGAATGCAGCTGGTAACCTGAGATGAGTGATGCCAGGCCAATCCCATCCAAACTTGGGCCAGGAGCTGGTATTCCTTCTCAATACCCCCCTCACAAGGCACCCCATATTGTTTCTCCACCCAATGCCATTTCCACCAAAATTTTGGCAGATGGCCATAAGTAGAACATCTTGCAATCATGTGTTACCCACCAAGAGACAGGAAAAAACCTCTCAACCATTGCAATTTTCTTTCTTTCTTTCTTTCTTTCTTTCTTTCTTTCTTTCTTTCTTTCTTTCTTTTTGTTAAATGCTTTTTATTAACTTATTATTACAGCACATACACACACGACACTTAGAAAACAAACTACAAAAGAAAACACAAAATAAATTATAAATATATATCCATAAATCCGCAAGTATCTGCACACCGACTTATGTTATCCAATCGTTAGTTATTATTCTATTTTAATAGACTTCCTTCCTCCTCAACGCGGGTCTGATTTTAAACTTGATAAACTATTTCTTTCTCATTTTGTCTTTTCTACCCTTCTCCATATGTTGTATTTGTAAACCGTGTTTTGTTTTGCAAAAATTATTCGAAGCAAGACCAGGTTTTAATTTGAGGGCACTGGGTTTTTTGTTTTTTTTAAATAATCTGTACTTTCCCCACTCTTTTTAAATTTTTGTTTAGACTATTGCCTAATTGCATCCGTCATTTTTGCCAATTCAAGGTAATAAAAAAATCTCTTTTGCCACTCTTTTTTTGTTGGTACTGTTTCACTTTTCCAGTTTTTTGCAATTAGTATTCTTGCTGCAGATGCTGCATAAAGGAATATTCTCTTATTTTCATTTGCAATGTCTGAATCTATTATGCTCAATAGAAATGCTTCTTTTTTTACAAAAAAAATAATAAAAATTCAACTCCTCATATACTAAACCATTGCAACTTTCAGTTTCCTGGATGGGAAATTTTCAAGCCTCGGTACCCATCTCAAAAAGGGGAGGAATTTGCTTCATGATAGGATAGAGTGGTATCTGATTAATAAGGCAGACCTGCCCATAAGTACATTTCTTGGGCTTCTTAATGGAGGATAAATATTAAGACCTCAACCTTGGTAACCAACAGGCTGCATTCAATTATTTAACAAATGTGCTATCAGACAATGAAAGTGATGGTTTTTTCAAGTCTTGTACTGTAATAATAATAACAACAATACCAATTTTATTATTTGTACCTGTCCATCTGACTTGGTTGCCCCAGCCCCTCTGAGTGGCTTCCAGCATATACAAAAACTTAATAAAACATTCAACATTCAAAACTTCCCTATTGAAAATATTATGTTTTGCTTCAGGCTCCATTAATTGCCATCCAAGCAGGCAATTAGCAAGCTATTTAAGCCTGGATTCAAAACAATCTTTAATTAATAGTAATGTGCTAATACTTGTGCAAATAAACAAATCCTACAGTCTTGAATTCTCAAAATAAATATATGCCAGCACCTCTCCACTCAAACTAATGATTCACTAGGTTAAGACTACTGTATAGGACAATGGTCAGGACAATATATCTCAGGACCTTTTGGCTGTATGGAGATCTTGAGCGCAGTGCTTTTTGTTTGGTACAATGTTTGGAATCTTAGTAACCCCTAGAATGCAACTAGTCCATGAATGTAACTAGTCCATGGCATATTCCTTGCTCAACAGAGAATGTTGAATCCTATCTTTCTAGGGCAGCTTCCCCCAACCTTGTGCCCTTCAGATGCTTTGGGCTACAAATCTAATCAGTCCCATCCAGCATCGCTTAGACAGCAACACTATTCCGCAATGTTGCAGGAGGAGAGTCTTGTGAGTTGTTATTTTTCCCACTACTACTTTTAGAAAAATTATAATTGTGCCATGTTTCATCTACCTTGCTTGCATGGATGGTGGCTGGAGGATTTGGGAGTGTGTAATGATATATCATAGGGACGCGGGTGGCGCTGTGGTCTAAACCACTGAGCCTCTTGGGCTTGCCAATCAGAAAATCGGCACTTCGAATCCCCGTGACGGGGTGAGCTCCCGTTGCTCGGTCCTAGCTCCTGCCAACCTAGCAGTTTGAAAGCATCCAAGTGCAAGTAGATAAATAGATACCACTCCGGTGGGAAGGTAAAAGGCATTTCTGTGCACTGCTCTGGTTCACCAGAAATGGCTTAGTCATGCTGGAAACATGACCCAGAAAAACTGTCTGTGGACAAATGCCAGCTCCCTCGGCCTGTAAAGCGAGATGAGCGCCGCAACCCCAGAGTCGTCTGTGACTGGACCTAACTGTCAGGGGTCCTTTACCTTTACCTTTTAATGATATATAATAATACTTAAGATATGGAGAAGTATATAACTGATGCACACACATTCCAGCACATTTAATTGGGCTGGGAGTATGTCTTACTGAACTCAGTGGGGCTTATTTCTCAGCAGAGTGCCTAGGATTGCACTGCCATTATGCAAGCTGTTGGACTTCCAAATAGTGTGTCTTACCTATGGTTATATTAGCTGCAAAACCCTTTTAAAAAATATGACACTTGTTTTTCTGAAATTTAAACTCTGCTTTTAATAAAATGGCTAATATTTTTAAAGCCTACAGCTTCAACCAATGGGTTTTAAAAATACAGTTTTTTACATGGTATTCAAGGCTCAGTAATGATTCTATAACTTTCAGCCGAAAGGAGAGTCAGAAAAGGTAGCAATGATGCTCCAGAAAAATAATGTTGAAAATTCCTGGCTTTCCTAAGAAGCAAATCATTGAGATATGTGGGAAGGGAGCATGAAGGTTGCACTATGATGTGTACCGAGGGAAGGAAGGGGAAGGAGACTTCAGTTGTGTTTAAATGCCATCGTTTTATTAAAATACTCTGCAAAGACCCTGAAATGCCACAACCAATGTATAGCATTCTTCTCTCTGTTTGTAAGCTAGCTACCCACAAGTCAAAAACTGAAGTATCAAGGAGAAAAGATGCACAGCTGGGTCTCTCACTGCTGGAGGGCTAAAGTACACACCTGCCTAGCGAAAGAAAGAAAGAAAGAAAGAAAGAAAGAAAGAAAGAAAGAGAAATTTGTTTCTACAACCTGTCAAACACAGACTAACTGCCATGTATATAAAGTAAAGGTAAAGGGACCCCTGACCATTAGGTCCAGTCGTGACCGACTCTGGGGTTGCAGCGCTCATCTTGCTTTATTGGCCGAGGGAGCCGGCGTACAGCTTCCGGGTCATGTGGCCAGCATGACTAAGCCGCTTCTGGCGAACCAGAGCAGCACATGGAAACGCCGTTTACCTTCCCACTGGAGCGGTCCCTATTTATCTACTTGCACTTTGACGTGCTTTCAAACTGCTAGGTTGGCAGGAGCAGGGACCGAGCAACGGGAGCTCACCCCATTGCGGGGATTCGAACTGCCAACCTTCTGATTGGCAAGCCCTAGGCTCAGTGGTTTAACCCACAGCACCACCCACGTCCCCTGCCATGTATATAGACTCCTACCAAACATTCAATGAGCCTCCTCCCACCCGATTCTTAGGTGGAGAATCAGGTGGGATTTTTCTTAAGTAGTCCATAGGAATGTAGGGAGAGATCCTCCTACAACAAATCCAGAGGTGGTCTCTTCAGGATAGGGTGGGCTGGTGGGAAAAAAAAATGTCAACGAGGGGCTCCTGCCCTTTAAGCAGTTGCGTAGAACTGAGAATGTCAGCAAGTCTTGCATGACAAGCTGTACCTGGCTAACATTTTCTCTTCCCCAGAGCCACTGAATGTTCAGGACTCTATTTTTTTTACCTGGTCACTCACCTTTAGGATCTGACAGCATAAGCTCCTTGACCTGGGCTTCTTACCTCCATTGATGCCATAGTTTCTATCCATCTCCACCTCATTCCCAACCTAGATGAGCAGGCACAGCGCCCTCAGAAGTTGCTGAAGGGCAAAGAGAGAGCAAATAAATAATTATATGCTCAAAGCTCAGACGAGGAGGGAAAGTAAAGATAAGCATTTGCTATATTTAAACAGATTATGCCTTCTAAGAAGAATTCCCAGTAGACAGACTCGAGGCACCGAGCTACCAAAGTAATCTCTCATTTCGGCCTAAGGTTGCCAACCTTAAACCACATGCTTCACGTTTGTCCTACTGAAGGTTTTATAAGCTAGGGATTAATCAACATAGTGCGCTCTAGATGGAAGACTACAGCTCCCATCATCCCCAGCCAGCATGGCCAATGGCCAAGGATGACAGGCATTGTCGTCCAAAATGTTTGAAGAGCACCACGTTAGCTGCTGCTGGTCTAAGCAGCCAGAAGACTGCAAGCAAAGGTATATAAGAATCCTTCTGAACTGCAACATGCACCTGAAAATTTCAAGGCAACCTCCTGTGATCAAACACCAAATTTAAACAGGAGCAGTGTAGGTTTTCAAAGGATGGGTGCCCAGCAGCAAGTATCACACACATACCAAGTGCAACAACACCCTTAAATAAATATATGCAAATGCAAATGGAACCATTATACAGTGATACCTCAGGTTAAGTACTTAATTCGTTCCGGAGGTCCGTTCTTAACCTGAAACTGTTCTTAACCTGAAGCACCACTTTAGCTAATGGGGTCTCCTGCTGCTGCCACGCCGCCGGAGCACAATTTCTGTTCTCATCCTGAAGCAAAGTTCTTAACCCGAGGTACTATTTCTGGGTTAGCGGAGTCTGTAACCTGAAGCGTATATAACCTGAAGCGTATGTAACCCAAGGTACCACTGTACAGTACACTTATCAGAGATCTGGAATTGGCTGGATTTTTCTGTCAAATGTACACAGTAGCAAAGCTGGGGTCCTTTTTTGAAATGCGCGAGATAGCCTAGAGTCCACTGGTGTCACATGAGAGTAAAACCAAAATCAGTATTCCTTTGAATGGTAGTTGTTGTGGGTGAACACAGCAGACGACACAGCGATTCTTCAAACAGCTCTTGTTTATTCACAGGCCAGGACAGAACTGAACTGAAGGGTTCAGTCAGCCTGCTTATATAGAGCTCCAGTACAATGTAACTGTAACAATTTTCTAAAACTATCCAATCACTGAACGTCACTTTCGATCCCTTATTTGCATAGCTATCTACAGTATCCCCCTGCTGGCCCAGGGTGAGAACTTCAGTACATAACAGTAGTCAGTATGTTTGAGGGGAGGGGCAAGCAGCAGCAGGTGACAGTTGCCTTCATACCCCACATATGGGGTTCTCAGAACATCGGATCTTTGGAAACCCCAAATTATTTCTGCACCAGCTTCCAACCTCCACCCACCCAACTCATCCAGAGGTTTCACATACACTTAACCCCATTCATACCTTGGCCAAGGCCAGGGCATTCACTTGGCATAGGATGAGATTACTCAAAATCTACCCAGATCACAATATACCAGTTTTAATTCAGCAAACAAGTCAGCAAACAACCCACAAAGACCACAGACACGCAGTCAGTGAAACAAACAAAACAAAATTGTTGGTTTTATTTCCAACACTTGACCTAGTAGTTGATGAAATAAGCAGTTTGGTTAAATCCTACCTGCAGAGAATCCATAACAAAAGGCACTAGCTGTCTCAGAAATATAGAAATCAATCTACCAAGGTGTAGCATAGATTCCATATTTTGTAAACTCCAACTGAAGAAGCCTTTCACAAGACTGAGACTGTTCTAGGGGGTTCCACACAGAGGTGGAACCAAGGTCAGTCCACCATAGCAACACGTTAGGTGCATAGTTTTAGTTAGCTTTTATTGTTCCCCCTGGTCTTGTAATTTATGGTTGTTTTTATGTGATTTATTTAACTTGTATTCTGTACCCTGTCATAGGATTGACTGTGGTGAAGGGCAGGCAATAAACACTCTGAATGCATAGAAACATACCCTCTTGGCCCTTAGGGAAGAGGCGAGGAAGGAAGCTTGGGGGCTCTATTTAAATGAAGTCTCATACAGGCTTATACATTTTATGCAATTTCTACAATTTAATACCTCCCTAACTCTCAGTGACAGTAACAAACAGATGAGATGCCTAAAACAGCCCTTCAAGCCTGGTAGTTTATCGTGTCAGACAGTCCTTTTTTCCTTAAAAATGTTTAGGGGTACTCTCATTTTGACTCAAGAAAATCACCATTTTATAGCTCAAATTGGGAAAAATAAACATAGTAAAGGGACAAAAGTACAAAGATTCACAAAATGTTTAGGGGTATGCGTACCCCTGCGTACCCCCAGGGAAAAAAAGCACTGGTGTCAGATAAACCTAAGAACTACTGATTAAGAAGTGTAATTGGTTACTGAAAAAAATAAATATATAGCCATCAGTCTGAGAGGGCTGCTTTTGGTGTGTGTGTGTGGTATAAAAGCTGATCAAACAGGGTGTTAAGTTAAATCCTACTGGGCTGTGGGAAATCCATAGCAGAAGGCACTAGCCAAATCAGATATTTTTTAAAAAGCTTATTTTCACCTTGAAATTATACATGCTTTGCTTGGGGGAGGGGTCACCTAGGCAAACATTTAGATAATTAATTGGTGGGTGCCTACTGATCACTTTAGCATAAAGTGTCTGCTGTTTTTCTTCCATTCTCTTTGCTGCAACCCTATGCCTACTTACCTGAAAGTAAGTCCTATTTCGTTTGATACTTACTTCATATGGGGTGGCGCTGTGGGTTAAACCACAGAGCCTAGGACTTGCCGATCAGAAGGTCGGCGGTTCGAATCCCCGCGATGGGGTGAGCTCCCGTTGCTCAGTTCCAGCTCCTGCCAACCTAGCAGTTCAAAAGCACGTCAAAGTGCAAGTAGAGAAATAGGTACCACTCCAGCAGGAAGGTAAACGGCATTTCCGTGCGCTGCTCTGGTTCGCCAGAAGCGGCTTAGTCATGCTGGCCACATGACCCAGAAGCTGTACGTTGGCTCCCTTGGCCAATAAAGTGAGATGAGCGCCGCAACCCCAGAGTCGGTCACGACTGGACCTAATGGTCAAAATGTGACATTATTCAATTCACTTTCAATATACGGTAATATTTCATTACATTTTGACTTCCCATCCTTACATCCATGATGTTCCTGTTGTATTCCTTTATCTGCTGCCATAACTGCTGTTTATTTTCCATTGTATTATAACTTATATTACAATCATTTATTTACTCTCCTTCCTTTGCCTATTATTCAAATCCTGCTCATGATTTCATTTGACTATAGTTCTCAAATAGTCCCAAAAGAAACTCCACTCTCTGACAAAGTTTTCACCTTAAAACAAGACTTACTTCTGAGTAGGCACTCATAGGCTTGCACTGTAAAGAACCTAGAAGCAAATTATCCATGGCCCATTTAACATATGGATGTCATTTAATTTATTTCTGAAATATTAATCTATTTAGATTACTTGCTTGGCTTTTTCTTGAAGGCTCAGGGCATTCTAGGAAAAGCTAGCTGTTGCAACTAAGTCCCGCTGCAATAATGGAACAAACCACGGAGCCTGAGTCCCAACAAATTCCATGAGACTTGCTCTCAATTACATGTGCAGGAGATTAACTCAAGTTCTGTTGATTTCTCTCTGCTATGTGACCAGAGTTTGCTGGAATGTGACACCCAAACAGGTAGGGATTCATAAAACCACCCTGGGTTGGATCCAGATTTTGTCACGGTTAGAATACACCCACTGCAATCAACAGGTATCAAGAGACTCATGATGAACTCTAGATCCACCTCATTAACATTTCCAAATGACCAAGCTATTCTGTGATAGTTGAAATGCTCTCCAGGACCTTTGAGGGTACCAGATAAGCCTAATGCAGGCATGGCCAAACTTGGCCCTCCAGATGTTTTGGGACTACAACTCCCATCATTCCTAGCTAACCGGACCAGTGGTCAGGGATGATGGGAATTGTAGTTCCAAAACAGCTGGAGGGCCAAGTTTGGCCATGCCTGGCCTTGTTGTTGTGTTGTCGTTTAGTCGTTTAGTCGTGTCCGACTCTTCGTGACCCCATGGACCAGAGCACGCCAGGCACTCCTGTCTTCCACTGCCTCCCACAGTTTGGTCGAACTCATGCTGGTAGCTTCGAGAACACTGTCCAACCATCTCATCCTCTGTCGTCCCCTTCTCCTTGTGCCCTCCATCTTTCCGAACATCAGGGTCTTTTCCAGGAAGTCTTCTCTTCTCATGAGGTGGCCAAAGTATTGGAGCCTCAGCTTCAGGATCTGTCCTTCCAGTGAGCACTCAGGGCTGATTTCCTTAAGAATGGGTAGGTTTGATCTTCTTGCAGTCCATGGGACTCTCAAGAGTCTCC